AAGGTATCCGGCAGCCAGAAGGTGCTGCAACGCTCGCCAAATCGGCTCTCAAAGAACCGCTGGCCGTAAATGAATTGTCGCACCAGCGACTCACCGCTGGGCATGTTGGTGTCGTGTTCAACCCAGCTGCCACCAATCGGCTGGAAATGACCCTTCTTCACCCATCGTTTGACGCGGTCAAAGACCGAAGGGTAATATTGCTCGAGCCACTTGAACTGTTGCGCCTGGGAACAAGCKAATCTGTGCTCCGGGTACCGGTCCATCAGGTCACACTGGTTAGACCATGAGCGGGCAACCTTGCGTTTCGTCTCTGCCCAAGGCCAGAGCCAGCAAGTGTCAATATGGCAGTGCCCGATGGCGTAGACAATGGGCTGGGTATCCGTCTCATAAACCTCGGACGAGTCGACCTTATCTCCAAGATATTTTTGAGCAGTTTTGCGCGCTTCCTTGATCGACTCTTGGCTTCCGTTACCCGCTATGAAAATATCCATGATGGCATTGGCAACCATATTCGCTTCATGAGCCTCCCAAGAGTCACCAGGGAACTCCCTCGCCGCATCTGCAAAAGTCAGCGCTAGTGAGCACATCAATAGCAGCCGTATACGCACCGCCAATGATCCAAAAATCATAAAACAGCGCCCGCGCCTCCACATTGACCGCAGTAATCCGCGCCGTATGCAGCGTATAGTACTTATCCGGCGCAGGCGGCTGGATCGAATCGCCGCCAGGCGCATTCCCAAACATAGCATTGCACGCCATCTCAATGTAAAACGTATGTTCCTTGCCGTCGCGCCACGCATCAGGAATAACCCATTCGATCCGATCCCCGCCACCAGTCAACCCCTGCACCGGCCGACCGTCCTCCATCCATACCAAGCCTTCATTATTTGCATCCCAGTGGAACTCTAGTCGTTCCTTGTCGAGCATATCCCGCGGGACCGTCAGCCGAATCCGGAACCAGTGCGTCGACCAACTAGGGCCGAAAGAGGCGCCGATATGCGTGGGCGTGAATTCGTGCGATGTCGCCTCCTCAAAGGTTGGACGCTGCAGGTCCGGGGGAGAGTAAACGGACAGCTTGACATGGTCTTCGTCCGAGGTGGTGGCTTCGTGAAGCTTGCTGTGGTGGGGAGTTAGCGGGGACTTTTCGGTTGATGGGATAGACGTACGAGATGAGGCTTTGCTCACGGTACTGGCCTGAGTCTGTGAACTGGCGCAGGCGATCCGTGTAGATTTTCTTGATACGTTGGCCGACGGGATGTTCTGGGGCTCGAGGGAGCGAGCTTGGAGCTCGCAATGGGGCGTCTCCACCCATCTCGGCGGGCCTAGACCGTTGATGTAGATAGTTTGAGGGATACACCTTAACGGTTTGACTAAGAACTATGTTGTTCAAACTCTGGATTCAAGGTCTATAGTCTCCGTAGAGATAAGGAAGAAGGAAACGGGAGAAAAGGGAAGGTTAGGAAAAGGAGTCCTGCCGGATATTCGCCAGGAACAGGGATGACGTTTAAGTGCGGAGAAGTCAACAGCGGGAGATGGCGGGGAAACGGAGCGGATGAGGTGGAATTTGAGACATCAACGATGGTCATGAGATGTTGCATGATTCATCTAGTACCAGGAATTAGTCTATATCTCCTCTCAGTTGTCTGAATTGATCTGAAAGAGCTGAATATTGACATGGTTATTGATAAATATCCTTGTAGACTTGTACCATGACAGCATCACCTGGACCGAGATACGCTTCAGGTTATACAAAGATCACACCGATTCGKGTCACCCCAGACAGTATCACTACAGAGTACAAGGTTAATATCCCTACATTGAGAAAGAGAATTCGACAAGTATGGTGAAATGGATAGGTAGAGATGAGTATGAGCGCTTTTGCGGGCTTATACTGGAGGCATATACTCATATGATAAGACCGACTGGCAGGTACTATAACAAACTAGTGACGTTGAGAAGAATATTATGAAACTAAAAGGGTACATTCTTGACATGCGAGGAATGAGTTTGTCACTGTTTGCGCTGGACCTACAGAATGCCTAGTAAGGGGATGTGTAGACCTTCTTTTTATCCCTTACTTGCTCAGCCTTGGGTTTCTCAGACTGGTTAAGTACTGCTATTAGTATACAGAGTAGTCCTCTGCCGCCTTCAATATTTATCTTAAGCATAGTTGCCAAATTAACTCTGAGTCCGACCTTTCCAAATATCAAACCCCGTGAAACAAAACAAACACCAGCAGGATGAAGATTTTCAATGTTCTCTCGGCTGTAATCTTTGCTACCATTGTGGTAGCAGGGCCTATGGAGAGCAATACTGAGTATGGTAACCAAGTTGAAGAACAGCAAGTATGGAAATAAGACCCTAGAAATATTTCGCTATGAAATTATAAGAACATGCTGACTAAGGTGGACATATGGGTAGTGTGTAAGTGGTTAATCCTTCTTAGAGAGATATGGAGAATATAGGGCTGATAGATGTGGAATATGGATAGATTGTAAGTGCTTAATCCTTCCTATAGGGGTGATATAAAGAATACAGGACTGAGAGATGTGGAATATGGATAGTTTGTAAGTGGTTAATCCTTCCTGGAGAGGTGATTTGAGATATACAGGGCTGATAGATGTGGAATATGGATAGATTGTAAGTGCTTAATCCTTCCTATAGAGGTGATATAAAGAATATAGGCTGACATAAGATGGATAGTGTGTAAGTGGTTAATCCTTCCTAGAGAGGTAATATAGAGAATACAGGGCAGCCAGGGCTGATAGATATGGAATATAGATAGATTGTAAGTGCTTAATCCTTCCTAGAGAGGTGATATAAAGAATACAGGGCTGACTGAGTTAGGATATGGATAGGAAGTAAGTGATTAATCCTTCCTAGAGAGATAATATGAAGGATACAGGGCTAACTAAGATGGAATATGGATAGAGAGTAAGTGATACCTGGAGAGGTGATAAGAAGAATACAGGGCTGATTAATTAATTTATCTTAGTAAGTTATCTGGGTACAAGCAACAGTGGAGGCTGGGTGGGATTTCACAAAATTAAGAACAGGGAGGAGCTTACTACTATAGCTATGACTGATAATATCTTTTATAAGCATGTCCTATAAAGACATGCTACATGTCTGGGATTCTGTGGGTTGCTATAAGCCTCTGGGGTTTCTGCAATTTCTCTTTCTTGCCTTGGTATAGGTTTTTCCTATTAAGTTAGGTTTCCCTGTACTGTTATGTGAATGCAAAGGCATAGTCTGCTACTCTTCTACATGGTTCCTTACTATACATATATAGAGTTGGGTCATACCCGGGAATCCATCTCTGCTGTTCTCCGCAGACTCTACTAGTCAACGACTTTGGGAAAGGGGTGATTTAGTCCCTGGACTATATCTGATACTTGCCTGAGGCCTACCGAGCAGGTAGCCTGTTGTTGTACTGAATAGGTGCACGAGTACCGAAACAATATAGTGATCTGGACAAGATCCAGGACAATCCAAAGGTAACGCAAGAATAATAACAGTAGAGATAGAAGCAAGGCCTACTAAGTGGTATCTTAATAGTAAAAGAGTAATGGATGAATCAGACTAGTAGACTTGCACTCAAGTAAATAACTTGTATTGAACACAAGGAACTAAACTAAGATTCACTAGATACAGTACAAAAGCCACAGGGAGCAAGTCCTCTGAAGCAGACCAAGACTGCTCCCAGTACGCATTGGTGTTCTAGATGATGGTGAGAACTCAAAGGGGCTTTTTGTTCCACCATTTGGACGTCTATGTTTGTCAGTTCTATTATCTTTGGTATCCAACCCCAGGTGACTCACCTTGCACAGTCTGAGACTAATATCATCTATTCTTAGGTAAATGAAGCTGCGTTGTGGTGATACGCCTCCCTGTAAAATGCTCCCCTAGAAAGACAGATGGGTACAGACATGATGTCAGATTTATAAATAGTCCATCTGTGAGCCAGTTCTGACAGGCAAGGGTAGGGAATATTGTTATTCCAAAGGTCTGTAGCTTAGCCTTATCCTTTAGACTGTGGCTGGTAGTCATGTCCAACTAACATGGAAGAATATGAATAAGGCACAGCGTTCTAGACTTCTAGCTGTCCACCATCTGTTGCATTTGTTATTAAACCCAGCAGCGCATGGACTAGATAGAGCTTTCTACTTTAAAGGAAGGGGATACAGAAGAAGGTTGTTCAGGGAATTTAGGACATGTAGTTAACTTTGACTCAATGCCTGCTTAGATACATTCGCTATCCATAGTATACTCGGCCATTTCCTAATTCCATATCGGAAACAGACGGACTTCAGAACTAGGATTAGACTTAATTTGAACTCTATCATGATAAGTTTTGATAAAACAAGTCACTTAGGGACAACAGCATAAATTACGGATCTATGGTATATTTCCCATGCTAAATCTCTTTGATTGTCAGACCCGCATTCTGAAAATGCCCTTTGCACCCTATTCCCTCGCACCCACTGTTTTGATGCACTATTTAAGAAAAAAATTAAAGCCCTAGTTAGGATTACCTTCATAGACTTGCTAGTGCCGCCTTATAAAGGGTTTCAGTTCAGTCAAGAGCTCCTTGATCACATTCAAATCAGGTGAATATGGGTAATGGGGGTAAATATACCAACTTTATTCCATGCACCTGAAACTCATCCTATAGGAAAATAGCTATTTCATTAAGGTATAAATAGGGCTTCTTAAGTAGGTGATCACAGAGGGCTTTAAGCATAATTAGTGTGAGTCTATCGCAGAATATCTTCAATTACAAAGAGTATATAACCCATATCGATAGCATAAAAAGTCGCTTCCATCAATCATCCAATCCAGTGCCGAGACGCCAAACGTAAGCCTTAGGCCTTTCCAGAGGTATCAAAATATCCAAGAAATGAAATCATCAAAGGTGAGGAAAAGTTAACGGGAGAAGGCCAGAAGCTCGGCCGAGACATAATGCAGAAACACTAGAGGAGAGACAGCAAAAGAAGCAATCATATCCAAGAATCAACGCGTCCGTAGGTAGTGTATGGGTTGACCGGCCCTATCAATTTAATCTGCGATTTGAGCTGCATTCGTCGACGGTCAACGCTCGACCCGATCACTTTTTTCTTCGCCTCACCAAGCACATCTAGCACTTGAGTGGTTCCATCCTGTAACACTCGCATGGCCTCTCGAGTGTTCTGCTGGATCACGGAACGTACCGGCGGCGATAATGGCGCAGTGGGATTGGAAGATGTGAAGTCCGGACTTGATTTCGACTTTTGGTTGGAAGACGGGTAAATGTTCCTTTGGTGCTTTGAAAATTTCACCTGGTGGTTCGGCCGGTAGCTGACCCTCTTTGTGCCGCCGGATTTGTCCCAGATGGCCGCACCATACTTCTGGTACGGAGTGATGGGGACAGCAAGCTGCTTTGTTCGGTGAAGGGGAACTGGCTTGGGGCTTTCTACCCACCGTTCGCTCGCAGTCGAAGCAGTTGAGATTGATAAGGTTGTCATCCGGATATCGACATCCACCGGGTTCGATTCATCTCTAGGTGCCCCATAACAGGAGCGGTCGCTCGAGGTGGCGCCCCCCTGTGAAGACGCATACTTGGTCGGGTAGAAGGAGGGCGCGGTGGCGGGCCGGCCTGGGCGTTTTGACTTGTCTTTCTCCGCAGAACGCTTCGATAATGTGCGATGGACGTAGGAACGGATCGAGTCCCGAACTTCATGGGCGAGCGTCAGAGTCCCGCGGTCGGAGGTATTCGAGCGCCTGCGATTCCTTCCAAATTCAAACGAGGATAAATGCAATTTACTCCCGTTCCTCTTCCGCGAACTGGTGGGAGGAAACCGTCCAGCTGCTCCAGGACCCAAGGCAGAGGGGGTCGCTAATTCGGGGAAGAAATCCCACTTCTTCTCCCGGAAATAGTGGTTCGGACCGGCCCGTTTCTGGGCCCATTCTGGCGGGCTTCCATACCGGTCGTCGTTTGATACTGATAGACCATGTTGGGAAAGCGACAAGCTTGGAGAATAGGAAGCTATCGTTGATGGCTTTGCACAGGGATCCACTATTGGCTCGGCATGATCCAAGGACGAAACCGGAGGATGATCGACAAGCCCGGCCAGGTCATCCGACGCCGAACGGACGAAAACGGGATAGCTTTCCGTTGAGTGGGTGGATTCGCGGTTTCGACTGCCGTCACTATCCACACTGCTAATAGTACTGCTCTCATCGCTCCATGCTGTCGATCCCCTCATCTCTGAGGCATCTGGGAGCGATCGTACTTGTGAGGGAAGGTCGGGAAGAGGTTTGTCCAGTTGCAGGGTAGGACGAGCTGGAGGTTGAGGAACTCTGGGCGGGACGACCTGCTCCAGTCCCTCTAGAGATCGAGATGGTCTCACTGGAGGAGCCTGACGGGTGTAAGCGAGGGAGGTGGGAGACAACATGATCCCAACTTTATACTCGATCGTCAAGCAGATACGTTAGGCATATCCTTCCCTTCCACGAGGGATTCTGCTTGGAAGCGGGGGAAGAAGTGTGTGTCTCGTCAAGACAACCACCAACAGAAGTGTGTGGGTTTTGAATTTAGGTATGGCGAATGGATCAGATTGAGTTACGGAGTAGACAGATGAGGTTCAGTAATATCTCAAGAACAAAGAAACCCAACCCGCCAAGGAACGGGTTCAATCTGCGTGTCAACACCTCTTGGGGTGTCCGGGATGGCTGATCACAAGACCCTTTCCCCGCAAGTCAGCCTGTCGCTCGAGCCTCGAATTGGGCATGCACAGGAAGGATACAGCGGGGAGATATAGGAACAAGCATCGTCGGGAAGGAAAAAGAAAAGAAGAGAAGAAGAGAAGGAGGGGGGGGAGAACCGGGAAGAATAAAGCAACAGAGCTGCGAGGGAAAAGAAAGAGAAGTAAGAATATAATTAAAAAAAAAAAAAAAAAAAGACAATGCGAAGTAAAGGGATAGAAAGATGCAGCCAGAGGAGTGAATATTCAGGTGGAACGGAAATCAGCCCTCCCCCCTAGATAGAAAATAACTAGAAAAAAAGAAAAGCCAAAATAACAATAGTATGAAAACAGAAGAGGTAATGCAGAAAACAAAAGGGTTAACAAATCATAAAGCAAGGTCAACCATGCAGCCGCGCAATTTGCGATTTGTCCTGCAGGATAATCAGCATCGTCACCAGCAAACAGCCTCATGGACTGTCGCGAGGGGTGACATGCCAACGCAAGGGATGCTCAGTCTACTGTTTTGTCGGCCTGCCTCCTGCCTTCCTGTCCCTCATCATCATGACATGTTTAGTCAACTTTGAACGGTGGAAGACGAGAATAGTATCTTAGATTGAGAGTGAAACATTTATGAGTAGGTAGGACAGTACTCATAGAGACGCTCAATGCGGATTGCAGTACAAAATACTCCGTACCACTAGGTACTATGTACTATGTATGTACTTGCGGGATGAGTGCTTAAGCTCAGGTACTACCGGTAGTATTGTGTAGTAGTACCTACATTATGTACCTAGATTCCCGGCTGCCCAACCTCGTGTACCACTAATCAGGTACCTGGAGAAGTCGACACGTCTAACTTCTCTAACCCTAACTAAGTTTGGCTGCTTTTTGCATCGTCTCTGACGTGAGTTCGTCCGTGGCTTTACGAACGGCACTTAGACGGCCCATCTTTCGGAGATTGGCGATCATTGCTTCATCGCCAAAGTGGCTGTTGTGCTCGAATTCCGGGTCCTCGCCATATGCCACTCGCGCGACATCGACCAGAATGCGGGCCGTCATGCCAAACACCCGATAGCGAGTCACCTCGCCTGATTTTTCTTTCTCTTCTAGCTCGTCTGCAGCCCGTTTCTGCACCCGGCTGCTGCTGCGCGGTTTGACGACCGACCGTCTGTTGATGGGGACAAAGAAGTGATGCACTGAGAGTGGGTCAGTGACAGTCAAGAACTAGACAAATGCCGGGAAAAAAAAGCAAAAACCAATCAACCGACGATCTCATTTTTTTTCCTTTTTCTTTGTCACTTTGCTTCTGCGTGATTCCTTTTCTTTTTGACTCTTTCTTTATTTCATTGCGATTCAACCCGTTCAACCGACGGTACACCGCCTGTCAAACAATGTACTCTACGGAAGTAAGGTACAGTATTGGTACCTAGGCGCAAACAGAGGACAGTGCCACTTACTTCTCCAATTGGACTGATGCCATCCGGTCCAGGACCCCTTATACCATTCTGTTGGGTCCTCAGTGCCCCAGTCAGCCGCATCTCTCATGCGTAGAAAGTTGTGAAATGGCGCTGTAAAGACGGCCGCCACCTCTCTGGCATCCAGCCTGGGAATCAGTGACACCTCTGGGTCGGCATTCTCGCCCGTCTCCTCGTCATACGAATGGAGCAGCGCCACGCAAGGGCGGACAACCACCTCCGTTCGAGCAAGATTAGCCGGGAACTCGCAGAGATGCTCAACGCTGAACGGCCGGGGAAATGACTGGTTGAGATCAGGCAACCCTATCTCTTCACGTGCCTCGCGGCGTGCCGTCTGGAATGCGGTCTCTTCCAGCGTATCCGCCCGTCCTGGGAAGCGTGGTGTGAGTGCTTGATATTTTGTCTTTGACTTTTTGAGTTTTGATTTTCACAATCACATTCTTGGGTCTTGAGTCTTGAGTTTTTTTTTTCGCAAGTGATGTAGATGATACATCATATGCAGTGGGATATCTTCATTCCTCCGAATCTTGAATTCTTTCCTGACCGCAAATTGGATCGCTCCACTCACCTCCAGGTAAAGCTGCGTGGCCAGCATCTGTGGAAATAGCGGTATGAGTAGATCATCCTCATCACTGTCATGATATGATCATCGACAACTCGACATTCATTCCCTGGAACGTTATGAGAGCACTCACACGAACTCAACGTCTTCGCCCGAATTGTCAACACAACCCTCAGATCCCCCTTGGCATCTGCATAGAGTAGCACTAGAACCGCCGCTCGACGCGACAATGGCACAAGTTCATAATTCGTCGGCGGTGGCCGATAATCTCTCAGACGATCGATCGCTCTCTATCCAACGCAATCGTAGTAGCGGTGCTGGTTAGCCAAGATACATCATCAACGTCGTCGTCATCACCGTCATCATCGATTTCGCGCTGGCCATTGATAGGGTAGTTGCAAAGCAAAACAAGGGCGGCGACAGCCGCAGACCTCGAAATGAAATGAGATCATTTATCTCACTCTGAAACATCCACATACCCATCCTTCATGCAGCCCGCTGAAATGCGCCAGAACGGGAAGACAGTAGCAGTAACGCGCGATTAAATCAATGTTGCCTCCGAGTTCCAAAATTAAAGGGACGTACCTGTGAAGCCGCATTCAGACGAGGCATCTTCTCCCTTGCGGGTGCCGGCTGTGACGCAAGTCTCCTGCCAGTGCTGGTGCTGGTGCTGAAGCCACGGGTTATCGCGGTCAATTGGAGGAGTGGTCGTCTTCGCATAGTATGCAGGGATTTGAGCGATTACGGCTCTTAGCTTTGTTTTATACCGGCATGCCATGAACTATGGATCTGGTTCTTAATATTGGAGTGGAGATGGGTGGTGCTCCATTGCCGTTGCCGAGGTTAGTGGATCATCTGGGGTCCTGGGTTGGAAATGTCGTTCCAGGGTAGAACCAGCCTTGAACTATCTTAGGGCCAGCACTACTAAGCCTGACAACAGAGTGAAATTATAAACACTAAGCGTGCTATTTTAAGTGCAAGCCGAGATGCATTTTATTACGTCCTCTGCTTCACTCAATTGGTAGACATTGGCAGTTAGGTGCGAGATGCTCATCATAATGCGGCGGCTTCAACCTTTTGGTATGTAGTCTTACATCGTTCTCAAGAAGTCAATGAATTTAATCAAAAAGAAAAGGAAAGGTAGAGGTGGGCCATTAATATAATCATAATGTAGAACAACAAAGTGGCCCAATGTGAACGAACCCTCTCCCCGATGCCAAACCTCCGTCGAACTTCCTGATATCTATCGAGACAATATATCACCAATAATCAAAATCATAACAGAATAAAGATGGTAAGCGGAGGAGAGTATTCCGACCAAGAGAATGGACATCAGAGACACCGAACAATAAGAAGTCTATCGAGAGTGGAAAGTAAAACATGGTGGAAGTGGTAGAGAGCGTCTGTGGAAAATCAGACGAAAATGCAAGTCTATTCGTTTGGGAGATTTATCATCTCAGGCAGAAGGCGAGGCGAGGGGAGATAGAAGGAGAATCAACTGCAGGCGACATTCTATTGCGAGGAACCTCCCTTCTTCTCGTCCTTGTCCTTGGCAGCCAGCTCTTCTGACTGCGTCTGCTCGGCCTTGTCGCCTTCCTTCTCAGCCTCAACAGCCTCATTGGATTGCTTCTCATGGCTGGCCGACGCCTCAAACTTCGCGTCCTCTGTTTCGTCGATATCCTCAATGTCCTTGGGGGTCGTAACGCCTTTCTCTTCGTGCTGGCTGTTCTGCTCGTTTTCCTCCTCGATGAGCTCCTGCTGCTCCTTGATAACCTCAAGACGCTGCTTGTTGGTGGCAGCGCCCTCGGCATTATGGACCTCAAGCTCAATTTCGTGGAACAACTCTTCAGGGATGCTAGACAGCACAGACTGGAGCGCTTCAATCTGAGACGCCATCTCCGCCTCCTTGCCGCCCTGCGCATATGCGTACGCGTTGCTCAGCACCAGAAGGGTGGACGGAACGCCTTGCTTGAGGCGCAGATCCAGCCACATCGCCAGGTCTTCCCGCAGGCGAGCGGGAGAGATACCATGCGTACGGATGCCACGTGAAGCACAAGCCATCTGCAGTTCAGGCACAGAAAGCGACTCCACCCCCTCGTAGAAAATTGCGCGGTCATCACGCTTAATCTGACGCATACGGTGTCGAATGTTGTACCGGAGCATGGCGTCCGTACCGAACGAATTCAGGTTCATGTATTTGCAAATGGCGACAAGCTGAGGGCGGGACAGATTGTCTAGGGTCAAGTCATCCTTGAAGATCTTGCAAACCTTKATCACATCCTCGGTCGAGGGGGTCTCCCCGGTGGTTCTAATCTTCTTGAAGAATTCTGCGAATTCCTCGTTCCTGACAGCGGCGGGAGTCACGGGGAGACCACTCTCGCGGAGAGTATTCTTCAAAAAGGTCGAAACCTCTTGCCGGGTTGAGCTCAAGTTAAGAGCCTTTTTCTCGCGTGCCTTCTGGCCCTCGTATGTGCTAGGCAGCAGGTTGGGGAACAGCTTCAAGGCGACGGGAAGTAGCAGTTCGGCGAAGGGGATAATGATGAACATCGAGAATGGGATCAACCGGCCAAGATCTTTCACCGTTCGTTGAAGCTAATTGTTCAATGCGTGAGTTGAATCCACTAACGCTATTTCGTAAGGGTAGCAAAAGACCTACCTGTCGGTACTCTCTCCGGCTGAGCTCATATCCAGCAGCCATCTTCAACGCCAGTCGCGAACTGATCCTGACCTCGGTAGCCAGAAGCTTTGTACCATCCCAGTAGTGCTGAACTTCCTTCTTAATCTTTTGTCCAATCGTCAACTTCTTCTGCTCCTTCTTCGCCTCAGTCACTTTCTTCTCATCGTCCGCGAGCGTCTTCTTCGCCGCTTCCAGCTCGGCGCGTTTCTGTGCATCTATGCTGTTCTCCGACGCAAGAGGCGTCTCTGGCTTGGGAGCAACCTGCGTGCTCCCGTTGTCAGCCGCAAGTCGCGACGCATCTTCCTTGGGAATGGGCTTCTTGGCCTGTTCGGCGTTAAAGCCCGGAGGCGGCAATGGGTTGGAGGAAGAAGATGTCGAGGTAGAAGTTTCTGTGGCATAGCCGCGCTGATGGGAGACCAAGATCGCAATAGCCTGTAGGTGCGTTGGGAAACCCCGTCCGTTGAACCGGAGATTTGCGGCCGATGCGGCGCCCAGGGCGCTGTTATACCGTGGTCGGACTATTGGTAATGACCATCATTAGACACGATAAAAATCCTCCAAGTATAAGACGGCTAAAATAAGCATAGAAAGTCGACTTACCGATCAGACTGGGGCGTACAGAATTGGTGCGCATAAGCCTGGCCGATCTCATTGTGACGGACATTGCGGAAGTCTAGGGGAATGAAATGCTCGGGGTGACGAGCGAGTATAGCAGACGGGCGCAGCAATCTTGGAGAGAGTTGTAATCCTGAACTCTTAATGGTCTCAACCGTGCAGAAGCAAAAGTAACTATGACATTCAGAGTTTGAAGTAATGATGTCGTTGAGAACTCTCCAGAGGCCATGCAAGAAGATGTGGTTTCTTCACGTGATCTCACCGGATTTCGGGGTTTATTTTCACTTGCGTCGGAGTTTATCAAATCCCATTGAGATAATGGAAACAAGCTCTTACTCTACTGGCATCGGCCGCTCTTCTGGTGGATCATTATTACGTATTAATCTCAAGTTTGCTCCATATTCTGAAATTAGTAACAAGTAGACCATGATGTTCATACCAGACATAATCAACGCAATACATTCGCCACTGAAATCACAGAAAGATGTCCAGCTGAAAGGAAAATTCGTGCAATTCGTGGAATCAAAATCAACCGCAATCATCAACATTCTAGATCATATAGGCATAAAGTGTATGAATATAGGCAAGTCGCAGAGACAAAAGAATGACTAAGGCAGGGTATCATCAAGAGCAAGACAAAACCAACCGATGACCAATCCCAAAGCATTGCTAGAGCATAGGTAAACTCAGTAGACAGACTCAAGCAGATAAAAGAGCGTTTGCCAAAACTGGGTAGGCGATATGAATTCTACTTTCTCTCTCGCGTAATCGCAGCGCCCGCAAAATTGGAGCCATCTATGGCAGTCGACAATGCACTGGCGTCAAGCGGAGGGATCTGGTCGAGACTTGACTTGTCGCATTCCTTGTGCGCAGAGGATGAGTCATCGAGGAAGCCAGGCCCTGCGGAAGAAGCGTTGTTCAAGATCGGTAGCGTCGGGCTAGTCATACCAGCCGGAGAGGCCTGCCAGCGGGCAACATCTTTCTTCAGCTCCTCCAGCTCCTTCTGGAACCGTTTGCCGAAGATGTCAATGTAGTAAGTGGCGCCATTATGAATACTCCAAATGAATAGGGCTGTCAAGAAAATACCGCTGGCCCATCGGAAACGGAACCAGAGGGGACAAGGAATCATGGTCAGAAGCGCATAAATGTACTGAATCATCATAAAGGCAGGTGCTTGCAATGATTCGGGAAGACTGATCACAAACTTCCCAATCCAGGTCTTCGCGTAAGATTTGCGAAGCCACGTGAAGCTGGTAGGACGCCCAGCGGCGATCTTCTCGGCACGACGCACAGTAATGAAAAAATGATAGGTCAGCTGCCAGATCATGTAAGGCACGGTTGCCCACAGCATCATGGAAAGGAGAGAATAGTGGTTGGGAGAGCCAGGTTTGCTAAACTTGATATCGTAGACGGCCGGAAATCTCTCTCGCAGCATTTTCGCAGGAGTGAGATGGACGAGGCAGTGTAAGGTAACTGGTGGCATGATGTGAATGAAGAGACTGCACATGAGACACGTCAGCGAATGCTCCTCTGCTGGGGAATTTCTTAACGGCACCTACCTGACGACCTTGTCCATGCTGTGGAAGACCATGGAGTTTCGCCACATTGCAATAGCCACGGCATTGTTTCCAAAAGTGAGGCAGAAGGTGCTGATAAAAAGTCTCTTGGACCTCGGGAAAACCCAGATACTGAGCATGCAAAGCATGTTGACAAAGTAGCAAAGATCGGCAAGGAAATAATGATATCCTTTTTTGTGGTATCCATAGTATCGTATCGGCATGAAATAGGCCAACTGCGCGCTGAACCAGATGTAGAAGTATTCCGGGTAGGCTCCGATGAGGTAGCCGCTGATGAAGATATTGAGAACACCCGCGATGAACGAAATCTTCTCGCGTAGTGTCACCGTGGCTGTGGCATTCCACTGCTTCTCCAGCCGCTTGACACCGTCACTCATCCGACGGCGATACTTGGCCAACTGCTCATCGGCTGTAGGAACCCGCCGCTTAAATTCTCCGACCACTCGATCCTTTGCGTTCATTGAAGTAGACTTCAGCTTTTCGCGCTGCTTTCTGACCTTCTCTCTCTGCACACTGATCGCCTGTTGCCATTTCTCGAGTTTTTGAGAGAGTGAAAGGTTGTCAAGCAAGTCAAACACGGTGAGTTTATCTAGCGGCGGAAACGTCTCCCAATCATCCTGATATGAAAAGGAAGGATTTCGCGACAGCCTAGGAGGAGAGGCTGGCGGCGAATATGAGCGATTGGAGGAGTTGGCATATTCATCCGTGTCATAGAAGGCATCCATATCTTCCACTGTCGCGGGTTGCAACACAGGAGAGTCATGCACGCCCGTCATCTGCTTCGTCTTTCCGTCTTTGTCACCATCGTGTCCGGCGCCCTCCATGATGAGTTTTTGTTGGAACGAGAAGATTGTAGGGCCTTCCCGGCTGTGAGGATAGGGACGACTAAGAAAGCGGCCGAAAGTTAGCATCACCATGTTGCTTCGAACCCAGATGCCGTCCCCCAACAAGGTATGAGAGAGCTCGAATACGTAGGCTTAATTAAACCAAGTGACTTCTGGGATGCAGGAAGCAACAAGAGTCTGGAAGTCTTATCGATAGGAGGGGCTGATATAACAAGGTAGGCTGAGGACTCACAAGGCAAAAACAACGAATCTTCGTCCAATGAAGATTTGGGACTGTTATCCAATGGTCAAATGCGCCAGTCTCCTTCAGAATCCGAGGCGCGTGATACCATGCAAGAGTCAACTGTACTGCCGAACGCGACAACGTGCGGAGAAAGGATGTGAAAAAGTCGACTCGGGAGGACCGTGGTGTTGAGAAAAGGCCCGTTGGGAAGATGAAGCTCGACGTGTGCTTGAAGTGACGTCTCTGGTTGGCTGCGGCTGATTTGCTACTCCCAAGGTCCGGCTTTGGATGGTCCCTGGGATCTGGGGCATGATCTGCTCAGCTAGCCAATAAGCTCCAGCCACAGAATCCTCCTTGCCACTTCCGTCGATACCTTACACACTGCTCTTTGTCCATCCTTAGGTACCTATTGTTGGCTAACATGCAGATTCATTCTTTCAGTTCTATAGGACGAATAAGGCGTAATATTATCATTGGAGAATTGCAACCACATGAAGAGAACGGTCTCACTTGAAGCAAGACTGCGTGCAGTAGATCCACAATATCAGCAAAAAGAGTTGGAGGATGTCTCTAAGTGTTGATATCTATTTGCAAGCCAGTCACACTGTCCGTCTCCGGAGATCCTTCGAGATTAAGGTATTTGCTGAACTAGGTTCATGCACTTCTCTATATGCAGGCTACAAGATGCCAGATGGATCTTCTTTGATGAAAGGAAAAATCTAAAACGCTGTTGAGCCGTGTTGAGAAGGAGACATGACGGCAGCCATACACCGCGAGGATCAGCGACTTCCAATCTGCAGGTCTATGCTGTTCTAGCCTTTGTACATCTAATGTACCTCCCACGACAGCTCCTCAGCTATATGGCTTAGAACAGCAGCATGAAATTCACATCATAGTCCGCATGCATCTGCTAAGGTGTAATGGTGCGCTATTAGCACGCCCAGAATGTTCGGGTCCATCATGAAATCACCCTCCCTGGCTTAGAGATGCTCTTCAACAGTACTGGTGAGAAAAGGCATGAAAAGAGATAATCCAGGTCAAGCTCCCAATACCACGGTTCATCCTCTAGCTCTTTCCTTGCCTCCATCACCAACTGCTGCTGCAGCTCACCCATCAAGGACTGGCCGACAACCGCAACCTTTCCAACTTGCCGAAACAGGCGTGCCACCGCCACTATATGTAGAGAGCCAGCTCGAGTGTCGCCACATATGACCAATCGTTGTGCGCAGGCCCAAGATATCAGGATACGAACTGACTAAGCAAAGGAAGCCCGGAGAGAATGAGATCAACGCTCTGGCGATGCTCACGCATGTATTCGGTGAAGTACGGAGTATAGGCGATGTGCATGATGCGATGCTTGGGGAGATGGTTGGGCGTTTTTGAAGGGTCAGAGTATCTCAAAGTGTAGCCCCATCCAAGAGCGTCGAACGCAAAACGGCTGAAAAGGGCCTGCTGCACCTCGTCACAGATCTGTTGGCTCGTGGTTAGAAGATTCATGTACACGCCATTTGAGCCTCGCCAGACGGTGCGGCCACGGATATAATATGTCGACTTTAACGATTCTCCAAAAATGATGACTTCGCGGTCTAGCCAGTAATTATCGGTGCTCGAAATAGCCCTGCAGAAGATTTCGCTGCGAATTTCGAAGGGGAGGTCGAGGAGGCGAAATGGAGTCGACTCGATCGCGTGCCAAAAATCTGTCTTCATTGAATCCTTGTAAGAAGAAAGGGCATGAGAATAGTGTTTCATAAAATAAGGACCCTCCTGAATCCAGACTTTCCGAGTCAAGTCCATACTGCGAGATCTGACCACACGCTTCTCTAGGGACTTGACAGATTTGCTGGTTCTGCTTCTGAAATTTGGTCGTCAGACGAACGGTGAATGCTGGACCTCGCGGTCCGGCAGTTGAGAGATCTACTGTACACTGACTCAGGGCACTCGCAGTTGGTCTGGTAAGAATACACGGAGTAAGAACTTTCCACTTTCCTGACAATGAGTCAGTTGTGTGAATGGGACAGTGTACATTATTTCACCAGAACACAGCCATGGTCTAAGAACGGCTCATTTGCTCAGAACGCTATGATCTAATTGATATGCAACAGTGAAAGATCAACAAAGGGAATAACACAAACGAAAGATACGCCCATGCACGTTATCCAGGTGAAAACTCCACATTATCTACATTTGCTGGAAATGAGATTCCAGACGTCGTGTTTTGCGATTCGTCTCCACATGAGGACGGCCAGCGATAAGGCCAGTCGCAGGGACAGGCTGTTGAGGAGGTCAGAGACGGTCTCAGATTTCAGGTTACAGCCGAGATTTCATGGGAACGGACCTTCCTATAACAGGTTCCAGTCAGTTTGACGAGATACTAAATGGCACATTCGTCGCAGGGGTTCCATGGCTCCACAATATCGAATGCTGAGCATAGAAACCCGGCAAAGAATTGGAGGCAGTCGAAGGAGGCGCTGCATGCCCATGCAGCGCCTGCGTTTGCTCACTGGAATTGATGGATGGATCCATACCCTTTGAGAGAGATGATAGTCCGCTCTCAACTGAGCTTTTACGACTGATGGACACTGGGGACAAAGGCAAGTAGTCTGCCTCAGCGATTTGCTTTTCGTTCATGTTCACTACTGCCGGCTCAATTCCCTCTGGCAGATGCTTTGAGGAGACAAAAATAACAGTATCACCGCCTGTTGGGTCATTAACAATCAGCCTGATGCCACTGAGTGATTCGTTAGTCCAAACATACTGATTTTTCCGCTCAAATATAGTTCCTCGATTTCCCGGACATCATAAATCTCGTCCAAGATGAACAGACGCTGAGGCGGTGCGATTTGCCGGTGCACATCCTGCCCAGCCTCTCGGAGCTTTTGCGCAGTGATTGCATTGCTTTCTCTCAATTCGCAGAGAATGTGCATAAGAAGTCGAATTCTCTCTAGAAGAGACGAAGAGTTAGCGACTCCTGACTCGACTGAATTCCCAAGATACCATGCGAGGGAAGAAACCGATTGACACACCATGCTTGAGGAGGTGATCTGGCTCCTTGTGCTGAACGCCTGTAGGCCACCACTTGGGCTTGGTCAATTCAGGGTCCAACTTCTGGCAAGGTCCTCCCATCACTGTCCTGCGGCCATTGTACGGGTGATTGACTTGCTTCCGAGGTTCCACCAGCTTGACAAACGCCTTTGCAATCACCCTGCAATTGAGCTGTTGGAGATTTTCAAAGGCTTTTTCGTAGAACTGGCGCAGCACATCGGTCTGTCCTACGCGAATTGGTGTCCGTTTGACTGCCCCGTCAGTCGAATCTGAATCTGAATCACCACCCATTTCCGAGCTTGTGCGCTTCCTGTTCCTCCGCGGGCGCTTATTTTGCAAAGTCTGGAATTCGCAAGGGATGAGCCTGGGATGCCTTGGTAGGCCATGCTGGAACCACGCTGGGCTAGACTGTAGATCCAGTCCGGCATTAAACATAAAGGATTGCCTTTCCGGTAGTTCAGCATGTGCTGCTCCAATCGCCCCGGCTGGTGATACACACGGCTAGTCAGCAATTATAATTTCAGTGGTTTTACGTGCGTTCCTACCGGACGGGAAATTCTGCATGTTTGGCTGCCAATCGGTAGTCACAGCTCTGACAAAGCTCTGCTTGAGATCTTCGGTAAAAATGGCCCTTTCACAGCCTGCAAGGGATGTAGAGACATCCACACCGAGCTCGCCGTTGTTGTCTATATAGATCATGGCAAAGTGGGGGAAAGGGCAGCTGGATGCCCGTGGCATTGGGCAGTGGCTCTCCTTTGGGATATCACGTTAGTGGATTGTCCTGTTGCTGCGACAAAGTGTCATGCATACCGCTGGCCCTTGCTGGCCTGTCATGCCATCATAGGGCAACATCTGATGATGCTCCTGAGTCCCTGGCTGAGCTGTTGGATTCATTGCACAAATCGAGCTTGGGGCACAAAAGAAGTGTTAAGGTACCAATGTCGGCTGAAGAATATGCCGTTGGAGGCCAGATTGTGAGTCCTCCACGAAGGATGTATATGATCTGAGATTTGACAGATTGTGACAACTCCAAAGAATCTGCCGAACAATGGGCTTGGGGTACTTTATATAACCGAATGGCCAATTGCAGTGTGGAAAAAGTACGCCTATTGACGAATTGGTCAACGAATTATCCCATGTGAGCTTTTAGAATTTCACTAACATCACTGACGGCTTCGGTGGCGGGACTCAACATGGAGCCTAATTAATACAGACAGATACATGCAGAAATTACACTATGGACTGCACGAAAAGGTCCCATGGATGCATGGCCGCCATTGCTTTAGGCAGATGGGGCATTGATACATATTTTCTGGTACGGGAGTCGGGTTTTAACGCCTCTAATGACGCCAATCACCGAATGAGGACAAAAATATGCTTGCTGTTTACGAGATTGTCCTCATCAGGGAATCAACAAGTTCGCCTCCTGAGCATGAAGATCATCCAAGACTTGTCTGTGACGGTACAGCGCCTTTCCAGCTAGATGGAAGCTCCGCCAATGGTGCTACCGAGCGCTTCAATGTACCCAAAAAAAGCAATAACGACTAATGATCTAGGCTAAGTTTAGGGCCGGGGAAGCTAGCTTAAAGTTAGCCTGCGGCCTAAGAAGTCAGGGCACATCCTAGCAGGGAGTAGCGATTCCCTTTTCTGTCCGATCCGAACCATGCCCGAGGATTGGATCCGTTATCTGTCTAATCGAATCGATGACCACCTTTGTAGTCGGAGTCGTTCTTCTGACACGGCGCTGAGATTCATGACGCCTCTGAGATCACAGATGTAACAGGGTCACCCAGGGCCATGTCCTGATGCGCACCAGGACTTTAGGGCCACAGCAGCGACATGCTCGCCTTCGATGCACAAACGATTTTACTCCATTCGCTCCCGGAAAAGGATGCCCGTCCCAGTGACCAGAATGAAGATCTTGTAGCTTGGACTTCGGTGGCAATCAATGTCCGCCGACGGACCCTGTTGTATCTGCGCCATCTAGATAGCCTGTGGAGACAGTCGTCCGGCATTTTCAATCACGGATGGGTCCCGCCGAATCAAAGCGCGGAGTCAACGTATCAGTTTTTCTGTCGTCGGCTGTCCAAAGCATGCGCGTCAGTGCAGCTACATGGAAGCTGTTGGCTAACGTAGGCCTCAGCTATTGGTCAATGCTCGCGCATTCGATGGTTATCCGCTGGCCTTGCTCAATACCTTCCAACTCGTTTAGCGGCAGCAACTCTCTGGGCTTTCTTCAATTGAGCCGCGTGGAGAGTTGCCAAAATTCCGAGTTCAGACGCCACACGACAGAATAGCTGGCTGAAGAGCTATCGCTTTGGTCGCCTGAAGGGACAACTTTCGAGGGTCGAGAAAGGTCGGGCTTGGTGCACGGACAGTCCGAAGCAGAGTGCATTAGCGCCCTTTTCCTCAAGGCTTTAGCTCCTTCCACAAGGTATCCACACAAATCTTTGGGACCTTGGTATTTGGTAAGCTGTGTGGACTGACTGGATACCCTTTGGCTTCCTGGAACAGCAGCGAAGGGCAGGACGCACAGAGAGGTAAACCGCCAGCTGTTCCACCAGTGGGGACGATTCCTTTAATCGAATCAGCATCGCTTTACCCTTCTCGAAGCAGTTCCAATTGACTACTCACTAGAGTCAACACTTTCTGAATGCAGCTGGAGCTGACATTCTAACACTCGTACTAACTTTAAGGATGATACAGTAATTTGACCGACCGCTGATCCTCCAGCCCTTACTGAGCCATGAGCAGATGTCTCGGAACTAGACTTTCACTGCTGAAGAAGGTTTGTGCCTGGTTTCTGCTAGTGGTCTATCCATCTATCCATCTATCCATCGCTGTCATTCAAGAAAACCATAGCCCTGACCCATTGCGTTTCAGTTGATATTCGCAACTCCATATCCCCTTCTATGGTAGGCAAAAACAGTACCTTGCCCTGTGATAAGGAAGGATTTCGACAGGATTGCTCCATTCTGGTGGATATTATAACTACCAACCACTATTGGATATGGCTTCATGTTCTCAGCGATGAAGTTGGAACCTGATCCGCGGAGACTCAGAACCGACTGCATAGACGATTGCCTCGAAGGGCAGAACCAAACAAAAACCAGCACAGTTCTAAGTTCCGAGAATGCAAACTGCGGACTGCGGACAGGCCTCTCCGTATGCGAGGCGAAGTGACATGTTACATCATCATTGACGGTCTTGTTATGCAGCTCGCGCCACTGGCAAGAAAAAGAGGAGAGATAAAAACCTACCTATCAACCTGAGAAAAAAAAAGCAAACAGAGAAAACAGTCATGGCTCCCTTGCTTCCTTGCGGGGAAAAGTGGACTCTCTTTCTTGTTTCCTCACGCTCGTCCATTAGTCAACATTACAGTTGAAACAATGCCTCTATCCATCAACTTTCTCCATCAACTTTCTAGCAGGTAACTCACTGAGTTTACTTGTGGCTGCTGTCAGAAACCCTTTTTTTTTTGTTGAGATTATCCATGCAATGTCAGCTGTTCCAATTTCTGGAACAGCTGCATGTGGTGACCTGTGGCTGCTGTCTGGACTCCGCTCGACAACTTCAAGCCTCTCTGCCAAGTCCAGGCCTTATGGGCTTTCAGCGAAGGGCAATCACCCTGCAAGCGGTGAGATTTCTTCAGCTAACTAATACCCAAGTGAACCTGATATGCTTTCGTTGGCTATTCTGAGAGCGAAATGATCCTTCTCCCAGGGTCTCTACTCATGGCGCCGCTGCAAGAGGTCTTCAATTGACTGCATAAATGTCTGAGCACTTGCAGCAACCGCGATATTATTTGGACTGCAGGTTGATTGGATGATAAGGGTGCATCTTCACACGGCGTCGTTTTGCCATCGTTGAAGACCAAATGTTCTTAGCGATCCGTCTGGGTACCGGGGGCAGATACAATGCTCCATCTGATGATCAAGTATCTATGTCTCTCACCGACAATTCAATGCTAGTCATAGCCAGCATACGGATTGCTCATGGCGTACATCCGCTATCTGCCGACCATCGATTGATGTGCCGCTCTGATGACCTCGCCATTGACGTTGAGAATAGTCTTCTGAAAGCGTGGGGACTGGTTTCTCGATATGCGCATACTACAAATGCCACACATCCGTCAATGCGACTTATTTTCTGCGTGTGTCCAATCGCCCCATCTCCTATGGAGAACAAAGCCAATAGTGCTTTATTCTGTGTACGTAATTGGAGCTTGGGTGACTCGAACAGTTCACTAGATCTTGGCGACTGGCTCGCGGGATAAACTTTTTTGAGCGATCACTGACAGCATTTGTAAGGAGTTAAATTCTCTCTGGCACTCACCAACACCTTGGGGCTACGGATGTTCAATGGCCTTGAACTTTTTGGACTGCGCCACACGGTGATCAGAAGAGGAAATACAAGGATTTGTCAGATCGAAAGAATTATCTGCCTCCTGCGGAGCCATCGAAGATCATTTGCCATCAGCTATGTGTCTTTGGATCAAGTTCCCTACTCCTATACTTAACGGAGGTGATGATCTCTTGGACAACTCAATATCCATCCCGATCTCAGAATTCTTCAGATCATTACTGATGAGCAAGGACAATCTCAAACAATGGTTGATTGGAGCCTGTTCTACATATCGACGTTGGGAGTCTCGTGGCTTGAAAGAGCTCTTCCTTAAGTTTTGCAGCCATGGCCACCGATGCGTCATGCATGAATTGCCTCGAAGTAACTTTCTGCAGGCATGCCTCTGCCGTGAGGCCGAGTCACCATGGATACAGTACACAACAACAGCTCTGGAAGGCGACAATCCAGCCTCCACAAACCCATCATTACCCAGCTCGGCAGGCATCCCGGATCGCCCCGGCAAACTGTTCTTCAGCTCGTAAAGCACAGCCAGCCTTTCCAGATGATCCGGCAAATCTGTCCCTCTTCCGTCACCTAGAGCTGCACCCACGGCACCCGGAGGCAATCTTCCTTGGGATAACTGGTGACAGAAATGATCGGCCCTTTGTTATCATGGCCTCCCACCATTCTGTTTCCGTAGCAAGGGGTCTGGTCCATCTTAATGGCACGGGATGGACCGATAACTGAGCCCCTGTGCGCAAACTGCTGAACTGCCGCTACCAAGCATCAAAAGATACTCCCAACAAGCAGCTTCAAAGGAATTGAAAAAGCTCTTAGCTTCCCGTTTCAGCACTTCTCTAGCCATAGCCATATCGTAAGCAGATTGAGGGGGTTCGGTCCTCCCAAACTTCGTTGACAGACGTCCCATTATTCTTGAACTTATTGATTCTTCTGCGTGTCACAGCAGGCGATGTGGCGTCCCCCCTTGTAACTATAACTGCAAATCCCTAATACCCACCGATAAATCCGAGAAGCTTGCGCCAACTACTTGTGATAATGCTGCAGGCAATTCTCCAGAATGAACAGTCGACGCGCCTGTGCTGAGTTGTCGCGCAGGTCCATGTTAGGTGTGCGGCTTACCTCACGCCATACTGCATTCAAGTCATACTTCTCAGGAACTGCCTATAGCGGACGTGGATGTGGTCATTACCTGCAGACTCGCGTGGTTCTTGCAAAAGTACTACGAGGTAGACTATGTTGTGATGTTTATATTCTGCTGAGAATGTTGAGCAAAATAATCTACCGTGCCTCTGGGGTAATGCCCCTCTTCTGCCAACTTACAAGAAGAAACGTATAGTCAAAGGCGAAGTTGCTTCCATTAATTATCATGCCTTTGTCATTAAACCTTCCCGCCATCCATCGCGACTGTTTGGAAAAGAAGAAACTCATAGCCATCAAGGGATATAACAAAGCAGATAGAAGAAAAAAGGGAGAAGGAGAAGCACTATCCTACAAGGCCATGGGAAGTAAACGGATCATACTCCTGCGAGTCAGGCTTAATTGAGGTATACAAAACAATTTAGTTGTATTTCCGGAGCTGCGGGAGAGGTCAGTACCTGAATTGGCTGCTCCAAGAATGAAGGCAAACTTACATCAAGCGTCAAGGATTTACTGCTGTTTTCGACCTGGTCTCGGTAGATACCAACCAATGCTTCACTGTTCTGGAACAGCCCAGTTTTCAAGCTAATGACAATGAACTGCATGCCAGGAGCCGCATGATCGTGGATATAGTTGGCGATGCGAGCCACATTGGTATTGTCAAGGGCAGCGTCAACTTCGTCCAGCACAAAGAAGGGCGATGGCTGGTAAGAATGGATGGCGAAGAGCAGAGCCAGCGCAGCCATAGTCTTCTCACCACCGGATAGGTGCTCCATGTCCCGGAAACGTTTGAGAGGGGGCATGGCGTGATATTTGATACCATCGAGGTATGGCTCGTCAGAGTCCTCAATGTCCAAGTACCTGTGGTTCAAGATTCAGTTAGGTGCAACAAAAACCATATCTGCAGAACAAAAACTTACGCTTGCCCTCCCAATGGATAATTGGCACTGCGAGTCAGCTCACGGTAGATGGGGCCAATTTGCTCCGAGATGTGAGAGAACGCCTTGTTGAAGAGATCTGATCGCTTTCGCATCACTTCCTCAAAATCGTCTTTGGCCTTCCGAGCCCGTTTGCGTGCCTCATCAAAGTCCTTCTCAGTGCTTCGCAGCTTGTTTTCAACGCTTTCTAGACGCTCCATTGCACGTGTATTCGGCGCCATCTTGTCCAACTCGCTGTTGAGAGTTTTGATCCTGTCGAGCAGTTCCTCTTCTACCTTTTCGTCGCCCTCCTGTCTCTAATGAGTTCTTGTTCGATGTGAGCCGGTGCGATAGTGCTTACCTCCTTGAGGGTCTCCCCTAGCGAGTCAAAATCGACTTCAATACCATAGTCTTGCACTTTACCACTTCCATCATTGGCATCCTCATCAACGTCCATTGCATCAGGGTCGGCTGTCTGAACAATGTCATCGATAGGCAGTTGATCAAGCGAATTAGAGTCTTCCGTGAGAGGTATGTTGATATCCTCGAGTTTGCAGCGCCTTAGGACAGCATATCGGCTGGACGAGTTACGTTGGATTTCGGTCTCCAAGGCGCTAACATTCTTTAGGATGCCTTCAACGTCCTTGCTGCGTTTCTGAAGTTCCCGGCGCTGCCGTGCGAGGTTCTCCGCTGATTGCGCATAAGCCTCTTTTTGCTCCTGCAGTCGCTCCCTAAGGACATCCAGCTCAGCATTGTATTCATCCAGCTGATTCCGGATTTGCTCTTGTTCGGCTTTGAGTTCCTCGATTAGACTCTCATCCCGCTCATGCTGTGCCTGAAGGCTGGCAATCCTATCATTCGTCGCCTGAAGTCGTTGCCTCTCGAAGCTGAGTTGATTCTCAATCCTGCTTTTCTGAGTCGTAAACTCGAGTTTCTTCTGAGCGGCCTCCTCTTGCAAGGACCCTTGTTGGACCTCGTATTCACGAATGTTAGCGTAACCCAGGCGCTTGCAGAATTTGCGGTAGATTTCATCCTCAATGCTGCTGACAGACTCTTGCGATTGGGCGATGGTCTGGTCGAGTTCTTCAAGAGCTTCCTGGCGTTCCATGTATTTTGGTCTCAAGTCTTCGAGCTGGCGCTTCACGAAATCTAATTCCGTGCGCTTGCTCTTGAGGTTTCTTTCGAGAGCCTTGAGCTCCTCTTGCGCGTAGGCTAGGCGCTGCTCCAGACCCACCAATTCACCTTGCAAAGTCTCTTCTTCAGTGCCTCTGCGATGGCCCTTAGGCAGGTTGGCGAGGTCGGCCATCAGTTTGTCCTTGAGCTTGTGAAGATTCTCAACCTCGGAATCCTCCCATCGCTTTGAATTCTGTTGGGGGCCTCTACCACCAGTCATCAAACCACCCTTGTGAATCACAGTTCCATCGAGKGTGACGGCTTTTGCGTCTACGTTCCTCTCATAGCAAAGGTACTTGGCTGTCGCCAAATCATCACAGACAATGGCGTTTCCACAGGCATAGCTGATGGCCCTTGCAACAGATTCGTCGTAGTCTACCGTTTCAATAGCTGGGCGCATTCCTCGGTGAATGCCTTTCAGATTTGAGTTGAAGGCTTTGACTTGGATGGTCTCCAGAGGGATAAAAGTTGCCTGCCCGGCTCTCTGATCTCGGAGGTGCTGGATGCACTCCTTGGCGGTCTTCTCATTATCGACGACGATGGCATCAAAGTGACGACCCAGCACCGTACTGACGGCTTCGGCATATTTCTTCTGCTTAGGTCGGCAAAGATCACTGACACGGCCCTTCACACCAGGAAATATGCGCTTCAAGGTCGAGATTAGCTCCTTAGCTCTTAGTTCCCTCTCTGTTTGCTTCTTGCCATCGTCAGCCTCAAGAAGCTTTTTCAAGACGACCTGGACTTTCTCCTCAAGCTCTGTCCTCATCTGAGAGATGCGCAAGCGCTCCGAGGTAAGCGCATTCAATTCCTTCTTCTTGCGGTCAATCTCCTTAGAAGTGGTCTTGACCGTGTCGTTCAAAGCTGATTTGCGCTCCGTCAAGGTCTGCGTATCAGTTTCTAAGCTCTTGAGCTGCCACTCTGTTGAGTCAAACTTGCTCTTCAAACTGTTGTAGGCCTCGGCTTCCGTCTTTCTCTGACGCCTTAGATTGTCGAGATTGAGTTGCTCCGCAGACGATCGCTTGCTGACTTCGTCTTTGAGCATTTTGTACTCCTGCTGGTCAGATTCGCTCAGTTGACCGCCCCGTTTACTCATTGTCTTATGCCATTCAGCCTCCCACTGAGCCTGAGCTTTTTCGATGACTTTGAGGTCCTTCTCCAATTGTTTCACATTGGCCGCCTGGGAATCCCGTTCCTTGCCAATTTCGGCAATCCGAGAGGCAAACCTCTCTACCTTCTTCCTGGTGATATCAACCTTTTCGTCCACAGGGACCAAGGCGTTGGTCGCCTCTTCGATATCTTTCTCCTTCTTGATAATATTTCTCTCTGCCTTGGCCACATCTCTGCCAACCTTCGCATGCTCTACCTTGGCGTTCTCAACATTCTTCTCATATTTCTCAACTCCGCGACGATATTCCTTGAGTTCCTCTTGGTACTTCTGGATATCCGAGCTGGACGCGTCAATCAAACGCTGGAAATGGAAAAGCTTCCAGAGAATGTGAGTGATCTCCGCCTGGTCACGTTCCTCTGCCTTCCTAGCATAGTTTTCGGCCTCACGCTTTTGCTCTTGGTATTGCTTAATTTCAGAATTGATTCCTCTCCGTCGGTTGAGCTGGATAGTCTGCTGCTCCGCGGCCTCCTCAGCTTCCGCCTTAAGACGTTCGTATTCAGCTTTGTATTCAAGACTTCCTGAAATCTGCTCAATCAACCGCGTCAAGTCCTTGGGGGACTGCGAAGCAATCGCCTCAACGTCACCCTGGAAGACCAGGAAATTGCGCGCTTTGATCAGAATATTTTCCGCCTCAAGAGCCTCGTTGTATTGTTGCGCAGTCACGATGCGATTATTGATTCGGTATTCGCTAACACCGGAGCTTGTGATCGACCGTCGCCATTGCTGCTCCTCGCCCGCATCATCCTCGTACACGGCCATGACCCATGCGGATTTTGGATCATTCAATCCACTGGGATCCTGCGATTCCTCCCCGTCGACGCCGTTTTCGTTTTGCTCTTCTCCGTTCGGTACCGCATCGGTAGCGTTGCCATCGGCGTCGACTTTCGATGTGCGCAGGACACGGCCACGGTAGACGAGATCGCGTAGGTTCGTAGACCGCAGATGTGATGATTTTATTCCCAAGACGAAAGAAATTGCATCCATCCTAAATCTCGTCAGCGCGAAAATGGCCCTATGGCGGATGGTTACGTGATACGCACGAGTTGGACTTGCCAGACCCATTAGGTCCGATAATGGATGTGAAGTAGGCATCTCCAAACAGCAAAACATGATGTCCCTTGTAGGATTTGAAATCTAAGGAATGGTTAGCACTATTCGCCGACGAGTGATTGGCTTAGCCTGTACTGAAAAGCTCAAGGCGAATAAGTTTCCCCATCTTGCGATAAGGCAGCCGCTGTCTCGCGACTGCAGAAGCAAAATTGAAATCTCAAAACGGGAATGAAGACGCCCGCGCCGATTCACTCAGCAATATAGCTGCAGCGATGGAGCAGCGACTGACAGCAGTGTTTGGATGACCCCGCGCGATAGTTGGCTATCATGGAGTCGCGTCTCGTAGCCAAGGACGCGCTGCCGATGCACGGCGGCAGATCACGTGCTTCATACCTCCGTCTCAACCACTACGAAATGAAAGCTTTACGTTTTTGTTTGTTCTCATTTAACTTCTCATTCGAAATCTAATTTACATCTATGTACATAGGATCTTTGGCGCAAAAATTCATGATGGCAGAAAGCCAGGGAAGCACCTCGACGTGCTATTCAAGGCTTGAACGCAGAAGCGAAAAGCTCTGTAGTTAAACATCTGAGAAGGGAGATAACTCTTGAGAACGCATTTCCTCGTCACGCGGGAATATCCTAATAGCTTCTGATGCTCACCGGGTTCCCAATCACGAGAAAATCCTCGGAGATGTACCCGGCTGAATCCATTCGGAAAACACCTTTTTGACCCTCGACTTCCAAGAGGATGATATCTTCCTGTGTAAAGAGCTGTCGGACAGATCGGAAACCCTTCCAGAAGACCTGGCTCATCTTTGTCAAAGGGGCTCTGTAGATGCTCACCTTAGCCGGTTGAGCACTTGGAGTCGTCTGTGGGTTGAGAGATTCAGGGGAGACGACCAGACGCCGAGAGAAGGCTATTTGGCGAGGTAGAGCATCAAACTGGTACGGCTTTCGGAAAGGAATCATGCTTCGAACGGTGAAGCGAAGGTATGTCTTGCCATTCGAATGAATGGCATTTACGGCCTTGATCAACCGCGCAGTCTTGACAATGAAGACTGTTCCCATAACACTCATCATGACACAAATGCCACCAAATAGACTCTTTTGCCACATTGGCAGAGCTACAACTGAGTCTCCGAACACCATGCTCGAGTTGTAGACCGAGTAGGCCAAGCAGAATGCTGCGATACCGTAAGCACCCAACACATAGAAGCGGTGTGATGGCGCCTTAAAAAGTAATAAGTCGCCCTCTTTCGCAACCTTCCTTTCTAGTTTACCGAATCCCTCAGGTCGTCTCCCCGCAAATTTGAGCGTTTCTTGCGAGGGTTTTGAAGGATTACGGGGTGCCGTGGGCTTGACAACAGCCTTGGCCCGAGGAGCACAAGAAGAGAAATATCTCCATGTTGGTAACGACTGTGGACCTAGTAATATCGGTGTCCTAGGACAATGTTGTGCGAATGCCCGAAAGGCAAATGACCTGGGAATCATTGTATTGCCTATAAGCTGAAAGCAATCACATCACGTTAGCGGAGAGCTCCGGTAATGAGAATCAAGCAATCAGAAAGATGCTATCAGCACCGCGATGAGAGCACCTTTGAAAAGAGCGATCGACAGGGATTGGACGACTAACCTTGAAAAGAAGTTCAAACTTCCGTTGCTCTCCCCGTCGTCAATTTCCGCTCGCATTGCAATACTCCGGTCGTTCTCCGCGGCAGAAAAATGTTCCCGTCCGGGCCGCCGGTGAGCTCCCAACAACCTCAACATCTAGAGCAAGTACAAACAGATCTTATCGCGGCTGATCCTGCCTTCATGGATCTCTACGTCTAACATTGAAACGCGGTCTACTACTTGCATCAGCTAGATCCATCAGTGGATTCTGTGTGGCTTAACCGACGGGGTACAACCTCTCGTTCGTCTCAAGCCTTCCGAATCCAGCTTCAGCGCCAAGCGCTCTCGGAGATACATTTCGATCAGCAAAGGGCACCTTTGAGCCATATCAAGACGCGAGATCGAGCAAGATGGCTTCCAGCTTTCCCGTGCGCCGTGTGTCGGCCATGATTGCCAGACGCCAACCCCGGGTAATCAGCACCACCAGACGTAAGTGACCCCAACGACCTCAAACGCAATTCAATCGGGTGCGATCTGGAAACAAACCAATACGCGACGACATCCCAAGTATACGTATAGCATTCAATCTACAGGCGCTAACTGCGAAATTGATAGGCCTCAACTCTTCCTCTTCAGCCCAGACGCAAAACCCCGCCTATCCCCTCTATCCTTCCGTCCAGGTGCTCCTCCATGAAAAGGGCATCCCAGAATCCGAAATCTCCAAGATTCCCGCCTCCGGTCCGAAGGGCCGTCTCCTCAAGGGCGATGTCCTCGCCTATATTGGCGCCATTCCCACCGACTACCCATCCAGCCAAGCCTCCCGCATCGAAAAGCTCTCCCACCTCGACCTAAGCAACATTAAGATCGCAGCTCCCCCGCAACCCGCCGAGACCAAGGCCCCAGTTGTCGAGGAACCCAGCGCTAGACCCCCACCCACAGTCTCAGTAGCCGTCTCCATCTCCCTGGCTACTGTGCTCTCCGTCCAGAAGAAGATCAAGGATTCGATCGGCGTCACCGTGCCGCTATCCACGTTCCTTGCCCGTGCCACCGACCTGGCGAACGACGACCTCCCCCGTTCCCCCCGCACCAAGCCCTCCGCAGACGAGCTCTTTGATGAGATCCTCGGAGCTGAGCCCGTCAAGACATCCCGGGGCGATTATGTTCCCGAGCTGAATGCCCTGGAGGCAACTGAATATCAGCCCGCTCAGCCCGCCAAGGAAGACATTATCGATATCCTCAGCGGCAAGGTTCCGAAGGCGCCCCGTAAGGCATCCATGGAAGAATACCCCGCCGGCTCTGCCGCGAATGTGTTTAGTTTGACCGTTCCTGTTGGTGATGAGACGAGGGCTAGGGTTTTCTTGGACCGGGTGAAGACCCTGTTGACAGTTGAGCCTGGAAGGCTTGTCCTATAGATCTCTTATTCATATACCTGTTGAAAGTAAGTAGTCAAATAATCAGCGGTTTTGTACAACATGGCTAATTGTCTTTCAGTGTAGCACTAATGAGATAAATATACAATTCATCCATGTACCGTAGCATTAGCATTTCTATTTAACAAAGACAATCATTTCTCTGCACCTTAGAATGTCTTTAGCGTAGGATTTGACACTGCATTAGTCACCAAGTTTTTCATGGTATCACAAGCTTCTTCTGAGCTTTTCTCCTCCCCCGGGGCCGTATGCAACCCATCTATCTGCCGAGAGCAAGAAAGCACTATCAAGGAGCTCCAAGTATCATGCAGTTGTATGTATCATGTCATCATCAATTTTAGCAGAGATAAAGATACGGCTATCACCATGCAAGTATGAGCGAAAAGAGTTCATTCTGGGGCCGTTGAAGCCCATCCGTCCCATGAGCAACACCAGTCCCTCCCACCTGTGTGAACACCATGAGCGCCACCGCTTATACTATTTCAGAAAGAGTTAAGAATATCCTGCTCGAGGCCAGATGCATAACAGACATCGCCTGAGACGAGAAGCAGAGCGTGGCAAGAAAAGAAGTGCAGAAGAGCAAAGTCGACGAAGGTACATGCCAGGAAGATATGATGAGATGGGAAAAAAGAGAAGCACCTGGTCCCCACGTTGAAAATGCTGTAGCCCACGAACAAAATGCGAAAAGATGCCAAAGAAGCGAAAACTCCTCCCTTAAACAGACCAAAAGTATCCCCAGGATTGCTGCAACGCCAATGTCCTGGAACGCCGTGTCTAATGCATATGTGAAAACCATGTGGGGATGTGAAAGTTGCTGCAGGGTCATGATAACCTCGAGTCCTAACGCCGGTATTACCGAATCGTACCCCATTCCGCTAGCTTGCCTCCCTCCCGTCCATGTTCTCTTCCTGATCTCTTATTGAAAATCTTCCAGAATCTCAACGTTTCGTCACCAGCTCCGGTTACAACCGTCTGTCCATCGGGGCTCATCGCAAGGTAGAGTACACGGAAAGTGTGGCCGGTTAGCGATACAATTTGCTCCATGCGCGGGTATTTCCATATTACAATCTGGTTCTGACTGTAGCCGTGTGTACTGATGATTTCGTCCGAGTTCTTCGACCATGCCAGGTTACAGACCTGGCTACCCGTATCAACTTCCTTGATCATTGAACCAGTAGCCGTGTTCCAAAATTTGATGGTCCGGTCCGCCGTTCCTCCACCTGAGGCGAGGAGGTGGTGTTGATGGGGCGACCAGGCGATGGCCTTTACGGCCGCGGTATGGTCCGAGAAGCGATAGAGCGGCGTCTCATTCAGCTTGTCCCACACCATAAGTTTATTGTCGTTTCCGCCTGAAGCTAGTTGGCCATCTTCGGTGTTCCATCGGAGACCGCAAACTTCTTGCTTATGGCCGGACAGTCGACGTAAATACTGATCTGGGGAGCGAACATCACGGTGGAAGATCAGTCGATCCCGAGAACCTGACGTAAGGATATGATCGTTCCAAGCAAGAGCCCCCACACGATTGGTATGTCCAATCATTGTCCGAAGGCGGCGACAGTGTTCTGCATCCCATATCTGTACAAAACCTTTGCCAGTTCCTATCGAAAGATGTGTGCCCTGTCCAATGTCAGTTCCGAAACACATAATCTTTGCCAACATATAGAGAGATTTCATTACCCTCTGAATCCAGCTGACACTGGTTACAGTATCATCTCTTAGCTCGCAGAGCTTCGTCACCCGGCCGGTATTCGAATTCCACATGTACACCGAATTGCCTAGGCCGACCCCTAGCACATTACTACTGCCCCAGTCCACCAGATTCAAGTAGAAATCATCTTGCAAATCGGGTGCGTCAAGAACCTTGTAGGGCACTTTATTGACGTATCGAGGCTGCTTGCGAGGAGTCTCAAGGATACGTTGACTGTCGTATCTGATCGGCGATAGACTGTAAAGTTCTGATCGCACATTTAAGTTGGGACCGTGTTGACTTCGAGGCGTCTTGGATGGTGTTGGTTGACCAGATCCAATTCTCGGAGAAGCGTAAGTGAAGAGGTTTTTGTGAGGCGTCGATGGCGTGATACTGGCTGGTGGTAGGTTCGAGATGGCGTGTGAAGGGGGTGTGTGAGAGCGAGTCTTCTCATTAATACCGTTGGGAATTCCCAGTAATGGATCAGGAGACAGTGAATCCAGATCGGCCTGTGGGACGGTGTTTCCAAAAAGCTCACTTCTGAGTACGCGCGAGTACATTCTATTTGCTTCTTCCGCTACAAGCAATGTCAGCTCCAGGTGAGTCGATCAAGGTCCCGTGGTAGACATACTTTTCTGGAAGTGAAGCTCCGAGTGAGGGGCGCGCTTTTTCGTTTTGGAAGGAGTAGAGGGACACCCATCTTCATGAAGCAAGCTATAAGTTGCTTGTAGATCTTGCCCCTCGCGATTTGGTATAAACCTGCGGGCGCCTTCGGTCAGTCATCTCCCATCAAAGAGACAATACAATGTATCATGATGCTCACCGATCGCCGTATACTCGTTGTCTTTTCCTACTGGGGCTTGTTCCAGGGGTTCTTTCCCGAGGACGTCCTGCATCTTCGTACTCCTTCAGAGCCTTCGCAAGCAATTTGGGATCAACGGGTTCAGAACTACTGTGGCTCTTCTGTCTTCTTGACGACGTAGCGGGATAGAAAATCGTCTTCTTCGATGGCATGCTGGGAGGCGTCCTTGATCCGGGAGGGGATGCGATATTCAAGGCATTGGGGACTCTCTCCGACGATCTCATAGTGGATTTGGCCGCCATTGCGCGGGTAGCGGCCAGAGAATCCGGATTCTTGTTGTTGTCGCCCATGCTCATAAACGTAGTTTCTATTCGGGGTGCAAGCGCTCGAGGTTGGTATCGACTGTAGGAGGGAGCAGCGAGGTGATGCGACAGGTTCCAGGTGTTCGATGACGATGTGGAGAGATATATAGAAACCGTATGGTAATGCGCTTTCAAGCCGATGAGCGACGGACCGTCTTGCTAATTGGATCGCAGGTTGTCCTAACAGCTGGTGGTTCGTGGAATAAATAAGGTTGTTGGTAGCAACGGCCAAGTCCTTCTGCTCCGCTCCGAACAATAAATGACTGAAGGCAGGCGACTTGAGGGAGCGACAAATGGCGGGCAAGGTACCGTTCACTTCTCTCACCAGACCCAAGGCTGATTTGACGGAATCTCGTAACTTGTGGAGGTCATTTGAAAGCGACCTGACCACCGTCTGGTGAGCTATTAGCGACTGATAAGTAGCGAAAGCAATCCAAGGGCGGGCTACGGGCTCTCTCTCTTTTGGGGGGTGACGGAGTTTCGAAKGGGATTCCATCCCTCCCAGTCACGCGTCGGCAGCACTAAGCCTATCTGGGACACAGGAGGTTGGCTGATGGATCAACGTGTTGAGATTACCTTTGTTGATATTGCCATTTATCCTAAGTCTGAGGATTTGTCGCAGAATAAGGAACTACTGTAGAAACTCTGTCCATGAGCTCGTTCAAGCCTGACTTCGTTGGGGTGTTGTTCTATTGTTGTCGTTGTGTTGACTAACCATGTGGTGAGCACACAGATCACTCAGTTGTCTACATCAGGCGCCCACAGTAACGCTGGTTACAATAATGCAGTCCCGTACCAAATATGGGAATAATTGCATCTGATGACTGAAATCAATATACGTATCTGCCTACATTTGGTGTCTTCTGAAAACAATAACAAAACCCCTTCATTAACGCGAAGCGCCAGTATACCTAACCAGAAGGGCGCGCTCAGCCTGTCATTGATTGTTGTGCCCCTATCAATCAGGCGCACTAACTGTCCTATCGGTTTCGCGACCGCCTGTCGTTCCACGCGCCCTCGACGCGACGGAGAGCTTGGGCCAGAGCATAGGGAAAGGGAGAGTTTACTTTCCACCTCTGCAGCCAAAGAAACTCTTTCTTTGGTCATGAACCTCTGTCGATCCTACCACCAGCTGAGCGGTTGTCTACGGCAAAAATTCCCCGTGTCTGTCGACTGATCTGATGATGAAATCATACCTTATCTCTTCCAGTTTTCTTCATCTACCTCTCTATACCACCGCGACAGTTCGGACTCAGACCCTTCAACCTCAACATGGCTACTTCATACTGCACTACAATATGAAAGTATATATAGTTACTAGATTTGCATCTGATCTTCTGAACAATTGCCTCCACTCTTTTTTACCGTCCTTTGTCTGATTGAGATGTCAGATGAATCATCTCAGCTTTTGTTCAGTCTGATCTGTGCTTGTCACTGAAGACACCAAAGATACCACCACGTCAGTGGGATAAATCTGTACGACAAACAAATGGAGCTACTAAAAACAAAATCATCAGATCTTGTCATAGTTTCATTTTAATAATTAGTACACAGACTAAGTTATCAATTAGTATCATGTTCTTGATACCTGCCATATCTTCACTGCTATAAGCCTACCGAACATGGTTAGTCTCACACTGACCGCCAAGATTGTTGGAGAATACCATATATGATCCGATCTCATGCCAACAAATAGATAATCCCTCCTCTCCACTTACTCCAGACTTCACCATAAGCTACCCCATAGCCAACAAGGTACTCCTTCAAGATGACCTCTAAGCTCGCGCAAAATCTGAAGCAACCCGCCTTGGACTTTTTGTCCTTTGTCAATGCCTCTCCGACTCGTAAATATACCTTCCCTATGGTTGAACTCCGATTCTTATCCAGAGACTGGAACTGACAGCAGCGGGAATTCTTAGCCTTTCATGCTGTACAGTCTGCAAAAGAACTCCTCATTAAAGCAGGATTCCAGGAAATCAAGGTACCGTTTATATCTAGGGGTGCAGATCATGTCAATATCAATTGTCTCACTCTTTCCCCATAGGAAAAAGACTCTTGGGCTTCAACATGCCGGCCTGGCGGAAAGTATTATCTGACCCGCAATAGCTCAACCATCGTAGCTTTTGCAGTAGGCAAGAAATGGAAGGTATGTTTGCACGACACCAGGTGACACAGCATACATACAGCCTCCTCCGTCAAAAAAGCTAAAGTGTCGGCCCATTGTAGCCTGGCAATGCCATCTCCATGATCGGTGCGCACACAGACTCCCCTGTTCTGAGAGTCAAGCCTGTTAGCAACAAGTCCGGAGAGGGTTATATGCAAGTTGGTGTTGAGACGTATGGTGGAGGCATCTGGCACACATGTCCGTTTACCGAACTCTATCCTTTACACAGCTCACTCAAAACTAATGATCGTCAGGGTTTGACCGTGACCTGGGAGTTGCGGGTCGCGCTATGGTTAAAACCAGCGATGACTCCATTGCGCAGAAATTGATTAAGATCGACCGTCCAAGTAGCACTCCCCGATGTTGATCTCTTGTGAAGGACGCGACAGCTGACCTCAATTGCAGTCCTTCGCATTCCCACCTTGGCCATTCACCTTGACCGCCAGGAAACTTTCTCATTCAACAAAGAGACCCAGTTGTTCCCTATTGCTGGCCTTGTGGCAGCCGAGCTCAACCGTACCGGGGAATCCAAAGATGCTGAAGCCAAGCAGGAGGGTAAGGGAGAATTTTCTCCTCTGAAGGCGATAACTGAGCGTCATCATCCCTACTTTGTCGAGCTCCTGGCTGCTGAGGCAGGTGTCAAGCCCGTCGACATCCTTGACTTCGAAATGATTTTGTTTGACACCCAAAAATCTTGCCTTGGTGGCATGCACGAGGAGTTCATTTTCTCACCTAGACTGGATAATCTCAACAGCTCTTTCTGTGCCACTGTCGGCTTGATCGAGTCTGTTGCAGATTCCTCGGCACTGGATGATGAGACGTCTATCCGACTCATTTCACTGTTCGACCATGAGGAAATTGGAAGCCGTACTGCTCAGGGCGCTGACTCAAACCTCCTTCCCGCCGTCATCCATCGCTTGTCGGTTCTCCCTTCGTCTTCGTCCGACCAAGACGATCTATCTACAGCCTACGAGCAGACTTTATCTACCTCCTTCCTCCTATCCGCGGATATGGCTCACGCAGTACACCCAAATTACGCTGCGAAGTACGAATCCGATCACCGTCCAGAGATCAACAAGGGCCCTGTCATCAAGATCAACGCCAACGCTCGCTACGCTACAAACTCGCCTGGCATTGTTCTTCTTCAGGAAGTTGCCCAAAAGGCGGCGGAAAATGGGGGCGAGGGAGTCCCTCTGCAGCTCTTCGTTGTTCGCAACGATTCCAGCTGTGGTAGCACTATTGGGCCTATGCTGTCTGCTGCTCTAGGTGCTCGAACCCTTGATCTGGGTAACCCACAATTAAGCATGCACAGTATCCGTGAGACTGGCGGTACCTACGATGTGGGACACTCGATCCGCCTATTTACCAGCTTCTTCAAACACTACTCGAGCGTTTCTAAACAGATTCTGGTCGATTGAGATTTCAACCTAGAATACCTCTCAGCGAAACCGCACATCTTATCATTCAAGCATGCAGAGGTGCAGGATTAGCCTTCCTCATACTCGAATGAACTAGGAATAAAAATATACTATCGATGTATACCAGCCTCGCCAAGCATCATTATCTCACTCTCACCCTATGAAGGCTTTTCTCTCCGCCGAGGCCAAAAGCCCAAGGTCAACCGCACTAGGGTGCTCATTATAAGAAGTCGCGACTATGTCAGATAAAGTTGAGAAGTCATCAACAGCAAGCTCTTGATCTGGAGCAATAGATTCCCTTGCCTTTGTTTCTCGCATTTGCGTATACAACAGCTGTTAGCGACCGTATTCTACTTTATTAGGCAGGCGGTCATCGCCGTATTTGAGGTCTATCGCGTATCACGTGTAGACGCGTCTCTCAAACACGTTTCCTGCGTACCTATGCTCAAGACAAGCATCTTTGAACCCATCTTAATTTCAATGGGAGCGTTCTATTGAAGTTTCTGAATTACTTAACTCCAAGCCGTTTCACATATTTGAGTAGCTATCCATGGCTGCCAATTTCTTTAACAACAAGGCCCGAGCTGCTGCTGCTGCGGCAGCATCCACCAGCTCGAAGCAGAAGCCAACGGATGGAAAGGAGGAGCAGACACGACTGCAGCCATGGGTTGAGAAGTAGTATGTGATGTTTAGTCCATTGTCCATTCCATTCTACGCAATGGCTGTTCTAACGGGAATCAATAGCCGGCCCAAGACCCTCGATGATGTAGCCGCGCAAGACCACACCACGAAAGTCCTTCAACGGACATTACAAGCTTCAAATGTGCGACATAAAGACTTCTTACCTAACTAAATTTACAGTTGAACATGACTGACAGAAATAGCTCCCTCACATGCTTTTCTATGGGCCCCCCGGTACAGGAAAGACCTCAACCATCCTCGCCCTTGCGAAATCGCTATTCGGCCCTGCTCTTTATCGGTCACGTATCCTCGAACTGAACGCGTCAGACGAGCGTGGTATTGGCATTGTCCGAGAAAAGGTCAAGGGATTCGCCCGCACGCAACTCAGCCAACCAACCGGATTGGACCCATCATATTTCGAACAATACCCCTGCCCGCCGTTCAAGATCATCATCCTGGATGAGGCAGATAGCATGACTCAAGATGCACAGTCTGCGCTCAGACGAACGATGGAGCAATACAGCCGGATCACCCGTTTCTGTCTCGTCTGCAACTACGTCACACGGATCATTGAGCCGCTTGCCAGTCGATGCAGCAAGTTCCGCTTCAAGCCGCTGGATAATTCGGCCGCAGCGGAGCGCTTGGCGCATATTGCCAGATTGGAGAATTTGAAGCTTGATGAGGGCGTCATTGATAAGCTGATCAGCTGCGGCGAGGGTGATTTACGGCGTGCCATTACATACATGCAGAGTGCAGCCCGGTTGGTAGGCGCTGGTCGTCCGACGGGTCAGAAAGATGGGGACGAGGACTCTCAGATGGCAGACGCCAGCTCGGAAGCTATCACAGTGCGAATGATCGAAGAGATTGCCGGTGTTGTGCCTGAAAGTGTCATAGATCGACTCGTGCGGGCCATGCAGCCGAAGAAATTGGGGTCTTCCTACGAGGCTGTCTCTGCCGTCGTCACAGATATTGTTGCAGATGGTTGGAGCGCGGGTCAGCTTGTCTTGCAGGTAAGCTCTTTTGCCATTCCCTTGTACAAGCCTCCGTTCAATTGCACATATCGCGAGATTCCATCCTGCACGTGGTCAAAGATGCTAACCACCAGCAGCTGTACCGACGGATCGTCTACAACGATGCTATTCCGGACATACAAAAGAACAAGATTGTAACCGCATTCTCTGAGATGGACAAGCGTCTGGTCGACGGGGCAGACGAACATTTGTCGATACTAGATCTTGCTCTTCGGATATCAGGCATCCTAGGTGGCTCATGATATTATTGATCTACACGTAATCAAGGATTTCTGCCACTAAATCCCCACATGAGGGCCATGACCGCTGTTCTATGTAAAGAAAGTATTGAAGTATTCAACCATGGGAGGATCTGGTAGATCCGTGCCTGGTTGTTATGTGACGCTTAATGAGAACTCTGTTCATGGTAAGCAATCCGATGTGGTAAAGGGTTGCATATTATCAGATAAAGTCGGAAGACATGGAAATCACGCTACAATCATCAATATTACTATTACTGCTACTCCCTAAGTAAGAATTGAAGCATGGGCATCTCGAACCCTCTGGCCATGCCCCACAACCACGTGTGGGACCCGCTCGCGCTTCTGTCCGAAGAGTCAGCGTACAGGTAAGCTGACCGAAACCGCAGCTTAACAGTCACTGACGTACTTGGATTGGGTTTCGGTCTCATCAGCCAATTCCTGAAAGTTCTTCTCTTTTATATTTCTACGAACATTTCTCCTGGAACGAAGCATCAGGATCGAGTTCAGAAAGACCAGAATGGCCCCTCCGGAGAGTCCTAAGGAGTACCCCGCGATGACGCCCGCACCCCGCTATCTAACAGGAAAGAAGCAGGAGATCAAGGAGTTCTTGGATAAATTCGATGTGAGTCTAACCAGTAAACACGTCCCAATGGCATGCACTTTATACGTCTTAATCCTGGCCAAGAAGCTGATTGTATCTATTAGGTATTTCTGTTCGATTGCGATGGTTCGTGCTGCCTTCCTTCGCTCAGCCGTATTCCGTCATACGGGCATGATGATCCCGATAGCACTTTATCCGATTGCTTACTGAAGAATGTTTGATATAGGAGTCCTCTGGTCTGGTGACCACCTCTTCCCTGGGACTGTCGAGACGCTGGAAATGTTGAGGAGCAACGGTATGCGCACACCTGCTGGGGAGAAGCTGCGAGCTAGAGACTCATATCCACCAGGCAAGCAGGTCGTTTTCGTCACGAACAACAGCACAAAGTCACGGGCCGACTACAAAAAGAAGCTGGAGAAGCTGGGGATTCCTAGCACAACGGTACGTCTTCAAGTGAAAGCTTGCCAAGGCTGGGCCAGTGTAGAAGGCATGTACAGGGGACTCCGCTGACAGAAGAAAACAGGAAGAAATATTTTCCTCCTCGTACAGCGCATCCATTTATATTTCCCGTATCCTCAAACTGCCAGAGAATAAGCGAAAGGTTTTCGTCATCGGCGAGACGGGGATTGAGCAGGAGCTTCAAACGGAGAACGTTCCATTCATTGGAGGCACAGATCCTGCCTATCGTCGCGAAGTGAGACCTGAGGACTACAAGCTCATTGCAGCTGGGGACCCCTCATTACTTGATCCTGAGGTTGGAGTCGTTCTCGTAGGCCTGGATTTTCATCTGAACTACCTGAAGCTGGCCCTTGCATATCACTACGTCAAACGTGGTGCGGTTTTCCTTGCGACCAATATCGATTCCACACTTCCGAACTCAGGAACGCTGTTCCCCGGCGCGGGTTCCATGAGTGCGCCGCTTATCATGATGCTGGGCCAGGAGCCTGTCTCGCTAGGCAAGCCCAACCAGGCAATGATGGACGCGATCGAGGGAAAATTCAAGTTCGATAGATCTCGGACGTGTATGGTGGGCGACCGTGCCAACACCGACATCCGGTTCGGGTTAGAAGGCAAGCTCGGAGGCACTTTGGGTGTCCTCACTGGAGTCAGCTCAAAGGAGGACTTCCTAGCTGGGCCTATTAGGCCTTCGGTGTACCTAGACAAACTTTCCGACCTTTTAGAAGCGAAGTGAAGCAGCATCACCGAGCACGGCTCCCCTTGCTGACTTTCAAGCATCGGCCCCGGTACAGGCACCTCGAGCCGAGATTCAGCGTCGATAGACTTCATCAAGATATCCCATAGAGTTGTTATATAGTTTGACATATAAAATGATCATCAAAGGAATTGCATCCACGCGCAAGCAACACTAGACGCCCTTGCCCGCTTAACAGGCGTCAGAGTTCTCAAGCAGGTCAGACTTCCTGAGGCCTGATGAATGCCTTCAGTTTCCACAGTGCCAGAAGAAGCTCAACGGCCGCCGGGTTGTCTGGGCTCAGGATCAGAGCAGTGTTGCCAAAGAGTGGACTATAGTCCCTCACTTCTGCTAGATCGGATTGAGACAATAGCTCAGTCAGATCAAAGACGGGTACTTTCGACTGGGACTGTGGAAGGGTCACCAAGTCCGGATACGAAGACTTTGTTGGTTCGTGGTCGTGAACCTGCTCCTGAGCGGTCGAAGAATCTCCATTCTCGCGTTGTTCCAACTGACGGCCCATGACCAGCACCCCACCGCATTCCATGCGCTCGATCTTCTCCAAGCGTCTTAGGCCTTCTAAAAGAGCATCGTAAGAACTGTCTTCGACCTCAATGATCTTTAAAGACCCAAGCMTTGATTTCGACCGCTTCTGCGCACCATACATGTCTTTGAGTTTCTTTAGGACATGCTTCCGCATTCTCTCAAGGACGAACTCAGGCATGTCCTCCCGCCAAATCAGCCGTTTCTCCTCTCGATTTGTAATGGGCCCCAGCGGGTGCTTCCATCGAAAGGGCACCAATCTTGTAATCAAAGGCCTCCTCCCACTCTTGTTTCGCGCAAGCGGTATCGTCAAGTCCTTCAGCAGGGGAAGACGGTCGATAATTCGTAGAGTGAGGGAGCGTAGTGACTTGTTCTTTAGGGATAGTTGTTCGGCCTGATCACCTTGGTCGGCTTGCGTGACTTTCGATGTCAATAATTCGTCTCGTAGGAGACCGACAGGCATGAACCACAGCCCTTCGTCGTTTTGGCGTTGGACCAGACCCCAATCCGTCAAAAACTCCCGTGGCAAACGAGTTCCGGTAGCTGTACACATACGTAGAGGCGATGCCAGTGCTACTGCCCAGGGATTGAGACGTAATCGGTCTGCATCACTCTGAGTTGGGCGTTTCTTGCGCATCTTCTCGACTCCGGGGAGTGCTTTTGTGAGTAAGGGCGATTGAGGCAGTAGCTGCGAAGGACGGACAGATTGAGCTGTTTGAGACGATGCTTCCCCATTTTTCCTTCCATTGCCTCGATCTACCTCCTGAGCGTCGGCTTCATTCTGAGATTCTGGGCTTCGCGACTCGTCCCGGCCGATGGAGCTTGAGATTTTACGCCGAAGGATGCGACTGGGCGATACATGATTCGTAGATGTGAGGAAAAGCTGACGAAACGTAGCTATTCGCCATGACGCGTATGAAGCGCGTTGTCGACAGCTCTCCATGCTCTGCAGCTGTTTTGGTTGGACACGAAAACACAAGCTGAAGAAATCCGCGAGTAAGCGGAGAAATCGGTGATTTTGGGCTCTCCGCTCTCCAATGCTCCTACTCCAAATCCTGACCAGTACGGCAGTACCTTGCTGTCGATTAAGACTTCAAACATCAGATCCACCGCTCGCTTCGTTGACAAGACAACTGCTTCTTGATTACTATTTACTAGCTTATTGACTGGTCATGAACACAAGCAAACTTATGAAAAGGCTGGGTCGCACCGCCCTACAGCCTGTATCGTCGCGAAGCTTCACCAGCTCCATCCCCGCATTGTCCAGCGCAATCCCTCCGAGAGGCATCCCTACGAGAGGTTGGACCCCAACACCATTCGTGACTGAGACAGTGGTGAGTTCCAATTTTTGGATGCTTGAGTACTGGCTAGATTGACTCACTGTTACTGTAGGGAGGCGGTTGGCACACATGTATGTTTGTTGGCCGTGTATCAATCTGCGGAGCCAACACCAAGCTAACTACGGGTCTAAGATGATATCTTTTCCAGATTGTTAAAGGTATAGCAGATTCCCTATAAGTAAACTCCATGAAATGCCCTTACTTACATTCGTTCCATCCAGGAGCGCATAATCTGCCTCAATGGTGAAGTAGACGAAACTATGTCCGCGTCAATAGTCGCCCAGCTCCTCTTCCTCGAAGCCGATAACCCTCAGAAACCTATCCACCTATACATTAACTCCCCTGGTGGCTCAGTGACGGCTGGTAAATTCAACCCACCCGATATTCCTCGTATAAACGGCTAATCCAACACAGGTCTCGCCATCTACGATACAATGACCTACATCGCATCCCCCGTCAGCACGATTTGTGTCGGGCAGGCAGCCTCCATGGGCTCGCTACTACTCTGCGGCGGCAATCCGGGGAAACGGTACTGTCTCCCACATTCGTCTATTATGATACACCAGCCCTCGGGCGGGTACTTCGGGCAAGCGAGCGATATCGCCATCCACGCCAAGGAGATTCTCCGTGTTCGCAGCCAATTGAACAAGATCTACCAGCGACACCTGACGGGGAAGAAAGTGCTGTCTCTTGAGGAGATCGAGAAGCTAATGGAGCGTGATTACTTTATGGGGGCGCAGGAGGCTTTGGAGATGGGTATCGTCGATGAGATTCTTGATCGCAGGGTAAAGCCGCAGAGTGAAGGAGGAGAAGGCGAAGGAAAGCCGCCGATGCCTTGAACAGAGCAGTTGATACCTACTTCTTCGATGAAAGTGCATACCTAATGCTCAATCGCGACTCGTAATATTCCAGACCCTTCCAATGCTGTGACTCGGACCCCGCAGTGCACATCGATTTCATCAAGCGTATGTATTAACAATGATTTATTTACAGAAAAAGTAATTGAGGATGAAGTTGTGGACAATGGGAGGGAAAGAATCAGGATTCTATCCTCTGAACACGTCCATCTGGCCCGACCTGCAGCCCAAACCTTGTTCGTAGAAAAGCTGCCGTCTGGTCTGACGGTATGTACGAAGATGTCCGTGCCGGCGGGGTGGTAGTGCTATATTTCCACTGATCACGGATGACATCAAAGAAGCCAAGGTCCATGATCACAGCCTCTCCTGAGGAGAAGATGTCCAGAGGGTGGCTATTCTTCGCACCAGGCGTATGACCATCCTCTGACGGGTCTGCCAATAATTGTGTATGTTCCGCCTGTTCATCTACACTGGCATGCGCATGGGTAACATAGGCGTTGGTCACATCAAGCTCAGCTCCATCACCGGAAGACCGCGATTCGGGTCGAGCCCCATGGACGCCTCTTTCCTCCGAGTCATGGTCTTGTACTCTGGGCGTTTCTGTAGAAGCAGGGGTAGTTTGCCCCGTTGTCTTCACTCTTTCAACTATGAGACCCAGCATGACGAGATCGAGAATCAGGACAAGGAAATCGAGCGATAACAGCCGAAATAGCGAGATGGGAGCTTTTTGTCCGATGAAATCGATCAACAACCCTCCATGAAGATACCCTCTAGTAGCCTCTCCGGCCTCAGGACGACTGAAGAAGTTGTGAAAAATCATACAAAATATGTTACTGACGAAGATAGCTCCGATGAAGGGTTGATTCCGTGTCGGATCAAAAGGAGGGGCTTTTGGGGTGAAGAATATCAACTGCACTATAGCACGGATTGCGAAGAGTATGACTGAGCAACTGGAGCAAATAAATGAGAGTACTGTTAGTAAAGCGCGAGCCATACTCCGACGAAGTGCTCTTCAGAGCAGTTCCAGAAAGCAGTCACAATGAAATTGAGGCAGCTCACTCCATGTAATAGAGCGCAGATAGCTCGCAGTAAATCAGGATATCAAGGTCGCGAAGTAAACGATCAATGAACGCGACCTTTGCAGCCGACTGCAGCTTTCTCATGCGCTCATTCTCGCGAGTCAACGCACTAGCATCTTGCTCAGTGTGGTTCGCGACGCTCCCATAAGATATGCCGGACACGTCAGCGATGTACTCCGCATCGCGAAAGGCATCTGGGGTTGTCATAGAGGTTCATGAGGGCATGAAAGGCGAGTTTGGAAAAAGAGGGGAAAGCAGACACCAAATCGGTGACGAAGGGCTGTTATAAGCGGAATGTCAGTATGCATGCAAATGAGCTGACGCCTGGTTCGCTAACAGCTCTCCTCACCCTGTACATCAGGTCGTCATGTGACGTCAAATCACCTGCAACATGGGATCCTCAATTTGCAACAAACCTGGCTCATTTATCCAAAATAATAAGAATGAAATATCCAATGGCAAGATGGCCGAGTTGGTCTAAGGCGTGAGGTTAAGGTACACCTTAATACTAAGCTCTTCGAGTTTCCTCATCATCGTATGATGGCGTGGGTTCGAATCCCACTCTTGTCAGTTCTCCTTTTCTTTTTTACTATTTAGTATCTTTAGTACCGATACTATTTTTTCCATTTTTTATTTTAAATTTTGGGTTGCTCACCTCTCCGGAAATAATTCTACTTTTATTTGTATCGTAAGTAACGAATTGATCGTGAACATGGTTTGTATTGATAAATAGGTCCATTTACATCTATAATTCATCTCTCCGGTTTTGTTCGACTTCCGTAGCTTCGTACATGCGTTTCTTTGGATTTCGGGGGATCTCTTCCTGTCGTTGCCTCTCTTCCGGTGACACATCGTCGATGTTGGTTTCTTCCTCCAATCTGCCGTTCTTGTCTACCATATCGCCAATCTGATCAATCATGCGATCAGTTTCAGGTTGCTCTTCGGAAGCGCTGATGGAAGCGCTAGGCATGAAGGCAGTTTGTCCCAACGTTGGTGCTTCCTGAGGCATGCTTTGACTGAGTGATGCTGAAGAATGTGATTGAACGGCCGTGCTAGTGATCCCGACTGTTCCAATGACAGCGAATGCGAACTTCGTTGTCAGTTTAATCGGCAGCCACACAAGCCACCAGAGTGGTCCATATAATATGCGACGGAATATGAGCCAAGATATTGTTCCAACCAGAATATAGAACGCTGTTTCCAGGTACCAAGTGTCAGACTTTTGGGATCTGAGGAGAGAACCGATGAGGTTGCGGGAGGATGAGAGGAGAGAGTCGAGATCGGTGTAGGACTCCGACAATGAAGATAGGGCAGCTGTCGATTGTTCTGTGGTTATAGGCTTAGCAGATTGAAGACCGTCTCCCAATGCAAGAATAACGAACCTAGAGTCTGGTGGGCGAATTGACTTCGAGATAGTTCCGCCTGCATCAGCTGGTGCGTCCTGCGCAATGCTGCGGTAACATCGCTTGAGGCGTTCTTGACAATATCATCATGCGACAGCTTCTCGGTAGATTGACTTCGGCGCTCGGCGCTCTGTGACCTCGAAAACAATAGCTCCCTCTCCTTGCGTTTTGCAGCCTCCGCATTTCGTTTCGCCTGGAGCTGAGCATTGCGAAATTCCACCCTCGTCCTAGGCAAGTATGTTAGCAGGGTAAATGTAACCTGGAGAGGCGCTTCACCTCTTGATCTCATCGGTCAACCTCCCCGTCAACGAAACGATCCGCTCTTTTTCCATCTCTTTCGAATTGTCCACACTTTTCCGTGCGCCTTCATTACCAGTTTCGAGAGCCTCAACTTCAACCTTCAGGATCTCCATCTGCTCTTCGGCCTCTTTCAATGAGCCATGTATTTCCTGTCCTAATTCCAGGCGGGCCTCGTCACCTTGACCAATAGCCATTGTGAAATTCCTTAGGCGATCGATGAGCGGGTGTATCTGAGCCAGAGCTATTGAGAGCTCTTTGAGGCGAGCTTGGAGAGCAGCTGTTGAAGCCATCCTGGCAGTGTGTATCCAGTGTATATCAAGGTTTTTCGGTAGTATGTGCACAGGTCGTGGGATATGTCCGAGATATCGTATATGGAGTGTTCAGGGATGCACCATGGCAAACGCAAGCTGTCGTTCTTCGAGCTTCGCCTTGGAATCCGTTTGCTGTCCACTGCGATTGCTTTGCGGAGGACCACTCGTGTCCACAATCAACAGCGTCATCGGTTCCTGAGGCCACAAAATGTTTGCATCTTTAACAAACATAACTCTCCGGCGGCCAACTGCGAGGTAATTTTCTAGGTAGATCAGGAACGGGCAACGGCCTCATTGCTATACAATTGATCACTGGATCTCCGCGCCACCATCCTCAATTTCAAGGGTCTGGCTGCGCCCGTCGTTGTTCTCTGCAGAAACCAAACGGACTCACTCGATTGATCGAATCAAGCGCGGAAAGCTGACTTAACCGACATCCGACTTGCGGTAACCATAAGATCTCGTATGTGTCTCCCATCACGTTCAGCAAACCACTCCCTGCGGCTTGAAACTAACTCCTTGAGCAGCGAAAACCAATTGGCCATTCCATCCACCTAATTCGAACGTACATCTCAAGGAGACACCACCAAAATGACCATCCCCCTGCACACAATCACCTCTTTCCGGGCGACCTTCAATCCGTTCTCGCGGTCCGCTCGTCCCTGTCGCTTGCTGCTCTCTCTCCTCCGCAACCCTTCCACTACACCCGCCTCGAGTCCGACGCATATCGATATCAAAGTTACTCAGCTGCCCCGCCACTCGACACAGCTCCCCGAGATGACGGTAGGGTTCAGAGGAGGCAAGGAGGTCAAGATCGAGGTCGGCAAGAACCAAATGAAAATCGGTGATGTGATCGAAGAACTTGCGCGTGTGGGACGGAGTATCGAGCGAGAAGAGACCCTCAAGGGTTGATTTTTGGGTCTGTACATTGTTTTTCGTGGATTTCTAGGTATCATTGCGGGTTTTACGCTACGGCGCCGAGGACATCGGGTTCGAGTTTTCTCATTGTGCATTTGTACTATAGAAGGGGAAAGGCGAGCAATGACTGCTGTGTGTGAGATTTGGAAAAGATGTTGACGAGCCATAACGTGAGGCGACGACCTTTGTATATATTAGCATTGAACAAGATATTTCTACTTTTCAACCTACCAGACCTGTTTATTTATGCTTCTTGACAACAATATGTAAGCTTCAGTGAAAGAGGATTTAATGCTACTTGCATTAGTTCATTTAGAACTGACGGATGCTACGAAATCAGTCCCAGCACTAATATGAGCAAATGCAGGGAAATGCAAAGGACTAAGTATTCGCCCTAAGGACGAACGGAAAGGATTTTAGATTTCTAGAACTTTTGTTCAATATAAATTTAAACAGCAGCGCCAGAGATGAAGAACCACTTGTCAATGCTGCCATCAATGGGGGCAGGAGGCAGGTTATCGCCCTTAGGGATGCTGGCAAGCTGAGAGGGGTCGGCGCGGTCAGGGGAGTTCTCAACAGAAGTGTTGGCACTGTCAAAGTCAGTTCAATCCTTGCCCCGGGGTGCAACTACGGTCAATGAAGTACTTACAGGCTGATATCGCCACGAGGGCTCTTGCCAGTGATGAGCTTCTCCCAAGCGTCAGCGCACTCGCGGATAACATCGAGAGCGTACCTAGGAAAGAAAAAATGTTAGCCACAGGAAGATGATATCAGGCGGAGTAAGAAGGCACCCACTTCTTGTTCTTGCACTCGCCAGAGAAGGCAAACTGGTTCTCGGGCTTTCCATCGGGGATCTTGTAGATACGGAACCATTCGTTGGTAGCACGGAGAAGGCCAGGAAGGTGACGCTCAACATCCTCAACGTCGTTGAGCTTAGGGGCAAGAGGGTCGTTGATATCAATGACGATGACCTTCCAGTCGGTCTCCTCCTCATCGAGCAGAGCCATCACACCAAGAACCTTGACCTGCTTGACCTGACCGGGGTAGCCAACAAGCTCACCGATCTCGCAGACATCGAGCGGGTCGTTGTCACCCTTGGCCTTGGTCTCGGGGTGAACAACGTTGGGGTCTTCCCAAGTCTAACCCATAGAAAGGTCTCCGGTTAGCATTGATTGGCCTGGACATGCACCATGTCCACGAAGTTAGCTTACCTGGGGGAAGGCACCGTAATTCCAGAGGTAACCCTTGTGGGGGAAGCAGTTACGGACGAAACGGAGCTTGCCCTTCTTGACATCCTGCTTAATGGGGTTCAGGAACTCCTCCTTGGAGATCTAAATATCCAAGCCGAATCAGCGAATGCTCCGTAAAGAGAAATAGCAACCGCCTAGTGTCTCGCGGATCCGGATTGCGTACCTCCTGCTTGGCGTTGGTCCAGCGGGGAATCTCAACAACCATGTTGAGAATTGTCTGCTCAGGGTTGGCGTAGAGGGGAATGTCGTGGAAGGGGGAGACTGGGACGCCATCCTTCTCAATGTAGACACGGTGCTCCAGGGTGTTGGCCTGGCCGATCTTGCGAACGGTGTAAGACATGTTGGGCGATTGCGGCGGGGTATACGAAGAAAAATGTCTAGAAAGAAGAGCAGCACGAGTTGACGCGGAGCTGACCGACGAACGAACTCTTGACAATGATGACGAAGACAAATTTGCTTGTTGAGGGGAGGAGGAAGAAGAGAAGGAGGAGGACGAGAGGGAGGAGGGAGGAGGGGCTTGTCGAGTGGGGGGAGCCAGCGTTGCTGATGTGCGTGGAATGGGCGAACGAGAGCGGGCGAGGGCCGGTGAGGCGGTGGACAGTCGGAGCGATGGAGACAGGGGCAGTAGTGCTCTGTTGCTCATGCGCAGAGCCACCGGGGACATTGATTGTATATAAAGAGAAAGGAATTCGGGCAGAGTTCCTCAATTGACAGATCTAGATTGATTTTTAAGCTTGTGATCGTGGCCTTGGATCGGCTTTACGCCGTTTATAGCAGCTGTTCCAGCGAAGGGGATCGAAGACAAAAATTGCTGGAAATTATCGGGATGGAAAATCGGCGTCGGGAATTCTGGTGGCAGGTGTCCGAGGCCCATCTATAGGAACACTGATCGCTGTGAAAGATACCTAGGTACAAGACATTCTAATCTCTATATATACTTATTGATTATTGACCTTCTCTTCCTGCTGTCAGTTGTTGTCAATTTGCTTTTGCAATCATAGTAGGAAACAGTTCTCCAATATGACCATCCACCATTACTATTGGACGTCTCTCAAATGTACCCGGCAGCTACCAGAGGTATTCGGAACGACAAAGATCCTCGGTGCATGGGAAGAGTAATCAGCGGGGCTCCGCAATTTATATTAGTGCCATTCCGCTGCTGTGATGCTACCTAGTCTGTCATTGTTTGAGGTAATGGTGATATCTACCAGAGGTACTCAGTAGTATGGGTGCTCCCAGGTACTCGACGGGTGCGGGAAATAAAGACCCATAATATTGAACAATGACCTATTCACAAGGCCATTATTGATGAGAAGAACAATAGCATTAAATGTTCAGGTCAGTTCCTCCTTACCTTGAGCCCTAATAACTCACCTTACAGGGATCGCGGCGCCTGACCTGAATAACCTTATTTTCACCTTGCCTCTTACTCCGCCATATTATGATGATGGTACCTTCGTTTACTCTATGTACTCCATAGAATTGAGTAGTATGTACTGCTTGAGCAGGCGGGAAGCTACAACATAAGCACAGCAATTATATCTTGTCTCAATGGGAAAGAAAACATTCCTCAATATAAGAAAGATCGTGACAGATACCAACATCTTTGCCTTGCGGTCCAAGAATTTCTCCAATCGAAGTCCGTCTGGCGACAGGAGTACTCCGAAGTAAGGTACTGATGGAAATCGGAAGACGACTTATCAGATTATCTTCACGTGACTTCAACTTTTTCATCTCCGCTTTTTCAATGTCCGTCGCCATCCACTTTCTAGTTCGTCGATTTACAATTTTACAGGACAACTTTACTTCATACACCCCTTCTCTGTCATTCACTTGCGCTTTTCGTGTCTCAGAAAGTCAATAATGCTATGCTAAGATTCCTCCGAGCCGCAATGACTTCGCTCACAACACCCCGCGTTCCTATCCCCGCCAATGGTGTCGACTACCGTGGCAAAGTAGTCCTGGCACCGATGGTACGTTCGGGAGAGCTGCCTTCACGTCTTCTCGCTCTAAAATACGGTGCGGATCTTGTTTGGGGTCCTGAAACGATAGACCGATCCCTCATCGGAGCCACCCGCCGAGTGAACCCTCGCAACGGATGCATCGAGTATATCAGATACCCGTCGAACGGTGGTCGTGCAGACAAACCTGCGCAAGAGTCCATTCTATACCGGATTGACCCAGTGCGTGAGAAGGGAAAACTGGTGTTTCAGATCGGTTCTGCATCCCCGGAGCTAGCCGTAGAAGCAGCCAAATTGGTCGCAGGCGACGTTGCGGGGATCGATTTGAACTCCGGATGTCCCAAACCTTTCAGTACGAGTGGTGGAATGGGAGCAGCACTCCTACGGACCCCCGACAAGCTCGTCTCTATCCTTGAATCTCTCGTGCGAGAAGTCGGAAATCCATATCAGATCGGCATCTCGGTCAAAATCCGTATCCTCGAGACACCGGAGAAGACCGAAAGCCTCGTCAAGAGACTCGTTGCCACAGGTATCACAGGCTTGACTGTCCATTGCCGTACGACACCAATGCGACCTCGTGAACGCGCCATCCGTAACCAGTTGTCGATGATTGCGTCTATCTGTCACGATGCTGGCGTTGCATGCGTCATGAACGGGGACGTCACCTCTCGGGACGAAGCGCTTGCGCTTATGAAGGAGTTCGGTGTGGACGGAGCAATGATAGCGACAGCGGCCGAGGCAAACCCGTCATGTTTCCGCTCCGAAGCAGAGGGTGGTTTACTCCCCTGGAGGGAGGTCGTCCACGACTATCTTCAAGCCGCTATTGAGTGCGAGAACCGCTTCGGCAACA